ATTAACCCACTGAAGCTCCCAACAAACAGATCACGAAGTGCCAGAATTTAGGTAGCACATTTTCTCGTGCTGCAGAGGAGAGCATCGAGACCTAGGGGAGCTGAGTAATTTATCCAGTGATGCTGGACCCAGCCAAAAGGCCCCTAGCTTGTGCAGGAAGGAAAGAGTCCAGCCACCTGCCATCTGCAGGAGTGCATTCTCCTCCCTTGCATTAAGAAGAGTCTCCATTCTCTGTGGAGTCTTCCTCAGTGAGCTAGCCTTCATCTATGGGCCAAGGATCAGTGCCATAAGGATAACTGGACATGGCTTCTAAAGCTACCCACAATGCAGACAGTAAGGTAGCTACACAAACAGCTTCATCCAAGGAGATCCAAGGAGAACATAAGAAAGCGAAGGGAGAGGAGTAAGAGTTTGGAGTCATTCCTGCTGCCTGGAAGAATGACTGGGCTTCGTAGACCACAGCTGAGCAGGCTGAAGCCAAAATTTCTTTCCCAGATTGCCATGTAAGTTTTAGACAATGTGAAATATGGAAGCTGCTTTGCAGATGCTTGCCGTGGCCTTGGCTTTGTTCCCTTTCCTCCCATACTGCTCTTTTCCTGTTGAAGAGCAGGGATGTCTTTGGAGGCCTGGCTTCCCAGCAGAGGGGGCAGTGAGACCATTCTCACCAGGACGGGGCTCCAGGTTCTGCAGAGCACACGCCCAAAGCCAGGACCGGCCCCCAGGTGCTCCGATGCCCAGTAGGAAGGAGGCTGTCACTGAGGAAATGCGCCTTCACATGTCAGGACTGTATGAGGCCCAAGTGCATCACGTAGACTTGGGGAAATTGTGTTTCAGTTTGTGCCAGTCCAGTTCATCTTTATTAAAGAAGTTAGTTCTTGAGAGCACAATGGCTTTTCCAGAATTAGCAACAGAGAGAAAAACAAAACAAAAAGACTCCAACTCTGTAGGACAACTAATGCGGCCCTATTAGGCTCATGACAAGGGAAACAGGGTCATGAGAGCGGACGACGGAGGGAGGAGTTTGGGGCAACGCTGCCACCTGTTGAGATGGGTTAAACCAGGGTTTGGGCAAAAGAGCACTGGTGTGACAGTCGACAGAGAGGAGTGAAACTTGATCCCGGCGAGGTCCCCATTTTAGGAATGTGGTTATTAGCCCCCACACTGCGACTCAGTGCAGGAGACATGGGGTGACGTGGACATTCTCCGTAGAAGTGTTCCGCACAGCAAGATCGGCTGATAGCCTGGAAGGGAGTCAAACTTGGTCGCATTCCATACTCCTTCCGTCTTCACGGTAAGGCACTGACTCGGAAGAAGTGTAAAGGGGACAATAAGATTGACGTGAGTGACTGGAGCAGCTTTGGAGCCAGCGGAGAGCCTGGCAGTTGTCTCTGGAGGAGAGCACGCTGAGACACGCCTGCAGGCGTGGGACCTCGGGGCTGAAGAGGTGCCTTGCATCTCCCTTTAAAGCCCGCTTTCAAGGTTCTCCTTTATTGATTAATTATTATCACTCTCTGTGTACATCAGGTGTGCCACAGCGTGTGTGGGCTCAGAGGGCGACTTCAGGAATCTGTTCTGTCCACTGTGTTCCTGGTTGTTGAACATGGGTCATTAGGCTTGCATAACCAGCACCTTTACCACCGAATCATCTGATCGGTCCCTCACAGACCAAACACCGTTGGCGCTATGACTTGTCTCTTTGCCCGCTCTCTAAGAGGAAACAATATTACTCCCCCACCTTGCAATATCAAAATTCTCGTGTTATTAAGACAGACTTAATTTTCTGGAAGACACGTGCATAGGACCAATCCACAACCCGTACTAACTGAGAATATACTATGTTCTAATGGGGTCCTTGTGGAAGCCCTTGAAACTAGCACAGTTCCAGAAAGGATCCCAAGAGGTTCACTATAGTCCTATCGGCGAGTGAGCTGAGAGACAAAGCCATCGATTCTGGTCAAAGGTGGATTCCCTCGGTACCACCCTGGGTGTTCCCCGAGCTTGTTTATATCCAGCGACCCTTCTGTCCCCGAACAGTGACCCCTTCCAATTCCTGGATCGCTTGGTTCTAGACATTACAGATTTCCATGTGAAGTTAGTCACAACCCAGGGTGAGTCAGGCCCAGAAAGTGCTGAGCCCCATGGAAAATGCCAGTTCTGCATGGGCTCTGTCATCAGAGTTGGCTGCTGCGGTCAGAGAGGGATGATGGCCAAGCCGGCTTTCTCGCCGTCAGTATCCAGTTATTAACAGTGGTGTCACAGAAAAGCTACCAGCAGCTGACACGTAGTCCTTCCCAATGGATTTACAGTTTCTGCTGTCCAAACTGTCGCACATCACAGTATATGGATGTGTGCATTCACTGCGTGTGTATTCTCAGGCTCGGCATCACCCATTCTCTGTGTGCTTACTGTTCTGTGCTGAGAAGTTTTCACATCTACCTGGACTGTGTTGCCTAGGCTTCTGTCAGCTTCTCATGAGCACGGGTCATCTCAGGAGGGGAACCTCAGCTGAGAAAATGGCTCCGTCAGATTGGCCAATGGGTCAAGTCTGTGGAGTGGGAAGGCTCATCCCACCCCAGGCAGTGCTGCCCCTGGGCTGGTGGAGAGTGAGTGAGTGGTCATGGTTGCTGTAGGGATGGACTGTGACCTGAAGCAGTAAGGTGAAATAACCCTTTCATCCTTCAGGCTGCTTCTGGTCAGTGTTTTCTCGCAGTGATTAAAAACAAACACAATGACATCACCATCAACTGTAGTAATCACCCGTTGACCTTTTCCCCTCCAACACGCCTGCTATCCTTGACAGTGGATCAAGTTAATCTCGTCTGGGTGCTTCCAACTTCAGTTCATGTGTAGCTAAGGCAAGCACTAAACTTTATGAGGACTCACCATGTGCTACGCACTAGCAGTTCCTGTACAGTCTTCCTCTGATCATACTCCATAAGCACGGAACTTTAGCAGTAGCTATATCATATATACAAACACATTACACATACTATCTGTGTAACCATCCTTAAGGATGGGTCCTATTACTACTCCTCCCCGCCCAGAGCTGGGTGCCTTGCTAGACTGTATCTCCTCTAAATGTCCCCTTGTCTGTAGCTGTGCACCAGCTCTTCCTCATCCTTAGCTCTAAAACAAACACAGATGGCAGAAACGGAGGGAGAGAGGCACTCACGTTAGCGTCAGTCTGACAGCCATGAGTTTACCTGACACTCAAGTCCTTCCTCAGTCCCCAAAGCAAGGCTGGCATGTAGCCCAGTGGGCATCCAGTTTCAGAGAAATAAGAGCTATTATCTAGGAACCCAGTAGAGTTGCCAAATCTAATACTCAAAGTAAAATTAATGGTGAAGGGTTAAGTACAGAGAACTCTAAGCACCTGAGCACTTTTCAGAGTGCACAATGCACCTGGGGAGAGACTGATGGTTACAGTGGTGTGGAGGGGGAGTGGATGATGGTGCCATGGCTACAGTGGTGAAGGGGAGTGGCTGAGGGTTGCCAGGGTTACAGTGGTGTGGAGGGGGAGTGGCTGATGGTGCCATGGTTACAGTGGTGAGGGGGAGTGGCTGATGGTTGCCATGGTTACTGTGGTGAGGTGGACTTCTCTTGTACTACTTGGAATTAGTAATGGCATCTGATCTCCACTTGTCTTGATTTATTCTATTCTTACAGTCACATATTTAGCTTTATTCCTGTGGATCATTTTGTTCTTTGAATATCATTTTTTTTTTTCGAGACAGGGTTTCTCTGTGGCTTTGGAGCCTGTCCTGGAACTAGCTCTGTAGACCAGGCTGGTATCGAACTCACAGAGATCCGCCTGCCTCTGTTTGAATATCATTTTTATTTTAAAGACTTTATTATTTTATTTTTATTCCCTCCATCGTGTGTGTGCCCATAGAGGCCAAAGGAGGGCATGGGATCCCCTGAACCTTGGTCTTGGGAACTGGGAACCACACTCTGGTCCTCTGCAGTAACTGCTGAGCCATTCCTCCAGCTCCTCATTTTGTCCTTATATAATATCCGCAGAGTTACAGAGTCTTTCTAAATTAGCACAGACAGTACTGGGTTTCAGTGTGGGACTTTTAAACACTGTTTTTGTTGATTCTCTTTCCTGTCCCCTCCCCCTCCTGGTATCATTCATCCCGCCTACCCCACCCCATGGCCTCCTTCTGCTCCGCGTTACCTCCACTTGTTTAAACACAGATGGACGTCATACGCCAAGGTCCATAGATGAGCTATGTGGGTTTTGGCTTTTTAAGTCTTGGTTACCTTGCTCAATTCAATACCTCCCAGCTTCAACCACTTCCCTGAAAATTTCCTGATGTCAGTTTTCTCTATGGCCTAACAAATCCCAGTGTCTTTGTGGGTCATGCTTTTATTATCCAATTAACTGTTAGTCCCACACCGATGGCCGTCCAGGTCTTGCCGTAGGGAAGCGGCGAGCCGCTCCGTGACAGATGACCGTGCTGGCCATTCAGAACAATGCTATGCTCCAGGCATTATTCACACTAATTAGAAGAGAAACGGGGGCTCCACACGTGTTCAAGTTCTCCTAGGTTGTACACAATGGGAAAAAGTAAAAAGAATATATATGCTCTTTCCACCGTCGCCCCCGACGTGTCTGCCATCCGCTCTCACATCCACAGCCCTTTTCTCCAATCATCTGGACAAATATAACCTGTTAATTACTGATACGCCAATCACATTTCATCATGAGTGACTTCAGAAAAACTGGATTTTGCTAGCAGGAATTTGAGTATTGATAAACTTATAATTTGATGTGTATCTTTTGCTAACCTGATTTTGGATGTAATATTTTGTTATTTGTATTGTTCATGGCAAAAAATCTATATCGAAGGGTCCCAAATGAATACGCAATAAACCACTGCAGGGGAGTTAGCTGCAGACAGACACAGTATTGGATCCACAGAGACTAAGGGAAAGTAAGGGGGGAAATTTAAAGGGGGACACAAAGCAAACCCTGCAGCCTTGGGAATCTCTTCCAGTCGTACTGTAGGACCTCGCTGCACCTGGAACACCTGGATGTCTCCTTCTGTGCCCACCTCACGGACGAAATTATAAAGACCGTAGCCATCTTCTGCACGCGAATCACGTCTCTCAACATCGCGGGATGTCCAAAGGTGCGTGCGGGAGTCAGAGGGCGGCGCTGAGAGCGGAGCCAGGCAGGGCCGCAGTCAGGGGCCAGACCTGACCTAGAACTCCCTTGTTTCCGTCACGGCGTGTGGGACCACTGAATGCTTCTTCCAGTTGCCGAACTGGAAATAGCTTGAGCATTTTATTTGTGCCAAAGTAGAACTTAAAATCATCCAAAACATTATTCTCATGCAAACTAAATTATGTACTGGAGATTCATTTGATTCATGAATAAGAGAAATAAAGTCAGGGCATGGAGCATTAGAAAACACTGGGTAGGGACTGAAGAAAGAAGGTTGAATTATGGGTCTCAGGTTAGATCTAAAATTGGTTACTATCCTACAGGGCAATACAGACAGAACGTCGGGTTAGGGTTTCTACCAGACAGAAATAATTTACCTGTCTCGTGGACAAAAAAAAAAAAAAAAAACCACAACACAACAACTAAGTGTTAACACATAACTTCACTGACTTTGGGCCAGAGTAAATAATAAACAGCACGGGAAGTAAAGGGTTAAATCTTTAGACATTTCCTCAGAGGGGTGGTCAGACGTGTCCCCATTCTCAAAAGGGCATGGAGTCGTCTTCAGGCTTAATTTCAAGGTTTGGCTACTTTCCTGACACTCGTTTATAAAAGATACAACGCTTACTGTAACCACTGACTGTACAAATGCCTACGGGATGGGAACGGCCCACTGCCAGCCATCAGAATACGCAAATGGGTGGCACATAAAATTACTTATTTTGGGGGGCGTTTTTCCATGTATAAAGAGGTCTGAAATGGTCACAGAAGTCATGTTTTGTTTTAAAAGATGGACTATTTCTTTCAAAGTCCAACATAACCTACTTTCTTTGTCTTATAGAAACCCAAGTCTGGGTTAACACGGCATATCAAACATACACATACAATTTCTCTTGAAACCCTATCACAATTGCAGCTGAACAGTAGGCCCATCTGGAAAAGAAAATTAGGAAAAGAAACAAGCAACGAGACTGGGGGAATTCGAAAATAGTTTGACAAATTGAGGTGACCCAAGACAGCTCTGAACCCCACGCCACAGCAGAGAAAGCTGGGAACACCTGATGGGTTTTAAGCTTAGCAGTCCCGTAGACTTCAGGGAGGAGACTCCTTGGGAGGAGACTAAAGTCAAGCCTGGTTAGCATTCTGGAAGAGCAGAGGCCCAGGTCTCTTCTGCCCCATACCTCGGGGTGCACCTCCCCAACCAAACCAGAAGCACGGGCACCACCTTCTCAATCCAGCTTTCTCAACCCCAACAGTGTGGAAGCTCCAGACAAGGCAGACAAGGAGGGGGTAGTCCTGTCACCGCTGGATAGCTAACACCCCTGCCCTCTAGGTACTGGGCCCCTAGCATCTGGATCCTGGGTTTCCATCTTGAAAACCAAGAATGTCTCCAGATACTGCCAAACATCTCCAGGAGAGCAAAATTGTCACCATCTAGAGACAGTAAAGCAGCAGACAGTTTCTGTGGGAAACACCACGTTTAACTGTGAGTTTGGGCACAAAAGTGAAAGGGGAAACGAGGCCCCTGAACACAGAGAGCAAACACTTAGGCAAGTTTTCTTCTCATTCAGCATCCAGAAAGTGGCTGCCAGAACTTCCCTTCAAGCAGGAGTTTAGACACCTCTTCTCCCGAGACTCTGCCATCCCCCCATGCTCAACACACAGCCTCCGCTCAGGGGCTAGCCCTCCACTGCTCATCACAAATGGCCTGTCGAGCATTCTCAGACCAGCAAGGAAGTCTCTAAACAGAAGATTAAAAATCCAAACATGTTATCAGGGAGAAGCTGGAGGTGGTTAAAATAGGCAGAAGAAAGAGACCTTGAAAATGCTTGGGAACTGCAAGCCGCTGAAAGCTGGTTCTGCTACGCACACCCGCTGGCTTCTATTTGAACAGCATCGCTGGGTTCTCAGGGGCTGTGCACTCTTGACAGGCTGCAAATCCAGCTGCTTTTCTGTTGGCTTGAGTGGACTGAGGGTCTGGAACCTCCTTAGTCTTGACACTAATGTATCAGACAAAGAAGAGGAGGCAGGAGGGGAGAAGATGTGGCAAGCAGGGGCAAACTGAAGCCAGAAACTTTACAGGAAAAACTTTTTTTTTTTTTGAGACAGCGTCTTACACTTAGGCCAGACTAACCTTGAACCTGTCAATGGACTAGACTGTCTGTGGACTAGACACTGTTCGCCGACCTCGGCCTTCCAAATGATGAGATTACAGGTGTGTGCCACCATGCCCAGCTACATGATCCCTTTTAATAATGTATTCGGTCAGAACAAGGGAAACGATGTTTTTCTGGTCCATGTCACCTGGTTCTGGAAGAAAGCTGTGTCGAGAAGCTGCAGAGGCCACCTGATTCTGCATGTGGGCTCCGAGAGCTCGCGGCACAACTCGGGGGAACTGCTCCAGCTCCAGCACCAAGTAGGCGGAAGATGAGGGCAGGCTCTCCCGTGGCTCTGCTAACAAAGGCTCCAAAGAGCACCGAGAAGGGAGGAGAGGCTTCCTTCTTTACAGAGACAGAATTCCTCTAGAAGCTAAGGGATTCTCCGTGCACCTTCAGTAAAGACTATCCGACATAGATGAATTGACATCAGATGCATCACTCTGTACTTAACAGGAGGGGAAGAAAAGGGAAGCGCAGTGGATTCCTCAGAACAGTCAGAACGGGGCATGGCCTTCCCCTCCAGGCTGTGCTAGTTGATTCAGAAGCAGAAGGGAAATTGATTTGGGCCGATCTGGTGGCTCACTCCCTTCACTTTGCCTAATTAATTCTACTCACTTTGTTTTTGAGGGGCCATAAAGAATGTTGAGAGCCTGGCTCACCATTCCAGATGCCCACAGGTGAATTTCAGTGTCTGTTCTACCTGTCTCTGGGAGGGCTGGCTTTTCCCAGGAGCCTCCTCATCTTCATGGCACTGAGATGCCAAGGAAAGAAAATGCCCGAAACAAAGAATAAAGGGAAAAGAACGAAATCAATGACAATAGTGAAATATTTATACAATTCATCCCTGAGGGAAAAAAAATCTCAAGTAGGCAAGGGGTAACTGTTAACCACATTTGTGTTGGGGGTGTAGGTGTCAGGACGCAGGATCTCTGTAGGCTGGTTATGACTTGTCTGAGACAGAATACGCTCATACATAGCAAGTGCCGTGAAGCATGATTTGCAGAGAGATCGAAGGCCAAATGGGGTCAGTACTCCCCAAAGCCCAGAACGGCCGCTATAGAGAAGGAAGTCTCCACCAGACACCCACAAAATCCAGAGCAGCCGCCATAGAGGAGGAAGTCTTCACCAGACACCCACAAAGCCCAGAACGGCCGCCATAGAGGAGGAAGTCTCCACCAGACACCCACAAAGGCCAGAGCAGCCGCCAGAGTAGAAGAAGCCTCCACCACCAGACATTGATTTCCCTCATACTGTAGCCAAGCCACTTAGCCTCACCCTTATCGCGAAGGGGAAAATGACAGCTAAGATGAGCCACCGAGGGGCACCCTGTTTGCAGGGCGACTGGGGCAGAGCCCGGGTGTCCAGCCAGTCCCCCAGCTCAGGATGCTGCATCCTGTTGCGGGAGGTCTTTCCGCCCCTCCAACCAATAGCTGCTGTGATACCAGCCCATTGGGGCGTGGTCTCACTCCCTTTAAAAAAGCGGCTACTTCCTCTGCTCGCTCTCTTCTCTTCCTGCTCCGCTGGAGACTAGACTCCCTTCCTGGTTGCGCAGATGGCTGTTGTCTGGGATTGTGATCTGTAAGTTTTTTCCCCTTTAAATAAATAACACCCTATTAATCATAACTCCAAACTGGTGTTGCCTTGTTCGTGACTTACGCCTTCATCTGGCGCCCAACGTGGGGCTTTTAGGACCTCTCCTTCCCCCGCTCGAGTTCGGCTTGGGCGAGCCCTCCCTTCCTTAGCCGCGGCCTGTGCCTTGTGGCGGCCTTCTGCCCAGGTGCAGGCGGGGAGCACTGAGCCATCAGCACGGTCTCAGAACACTCTCCTCCGATCCCAAGCGGGAACACAAACATCCAGTCCCATAAAAGCCTTGAAATGCTTTAAAGCCAGAGTTCACGCTGGCAGCACAGCCCCCAGGAAGCCGTGCTTTAAAATGATGCAGCTTTTTTTCTGCTGCTGTTGCTGAATCAGGAAATTTCTCTACAGCACGCCATCAACAAACAGCAAAAATCTGTGTTAAACTCTCTCTCCCTTATTTTTAAGCTCTCTCAGGTTTTTAAGTGGATTTAGCCCATCACGTCTGGCCAGGCCTTCTCAAAGCGTTCAGGGACTAGTTATAATTTTCTTAGGTCAAAGGTTAATTTGGGAATTTTACCTTCATTTGTTTTCACAGGAGCCCCTAAGGAGAACATCGCCCCCATGTCAGCTTGAAGCAATCTTAGAGGACGACGTCCCCTCTCCCAACAGAGTTTGCCCTCAGGGTTAGGGACATCTTTTAGTCGTTGGTTTGGGGTTGAGGGGATGGGGAGATGTTTTATGGAATTAGGGGTATGTTCGAAAAAAAAAGGGATTAATTGGTTTGATGGGATGATTGGTATTTGTGAGTTACTGTTTTTAGAAAATTGTATTGGTACTGTTTCCTGTATATTGACATATTGAATATTGAATGTGAGTTTTCCTACCTCTATTTTTGTATAAGAGTATGCTTATATTGTATTGATACATCTACCATATCACAATGTACATTTCTACCTCTGATACTATTTATGTAATAACATTGTTTACATTTGATATGTAATGACATTGTTTACAGATGAAGATCGTTGTCTCCATATATTGCACAGTTGTTTATTGTCTTAGTCTTTAAGTTAGATAGATATTGAGAATTATATAGATTAATAGTCATCTAAGTTTGTCATTTATAATTAGACTAATCAGGTTCTTTAGATATATAGAGATTATACTCAGTATAGATAGATAATCTTCAACCTCTTTGAAGAGCTGTAGAATATGGCCTTTAATCTAACTCAGAGTTTTGTGGTAGTGAGACACAATTGCTCCTGGCAACACCGCTCTATTCCTGAGAGAATGTTGAGCACCAAAGACACTCCACCTGGAGCCTTTCTTTTTGGCAGAACTGGCCTTGGGGCAAAGAAATGCCCATACCTCAACAACTGACAGAGATACAGAGTGTGCATCAATAAATAAAACAGGACTGTCATATCCTGCCAAGACAGGGTAAGATAGTTTTGAAAAGTTGCTTGCCTTTGAAAATGGTATGTAAGTTATGTTAGCCCTTAGCCAAACTTGGTTGCTTCAACGCTGCAAACATGACTTTGGGTGATTGCCCAGGTAGCTAGTTGTCTCTGTGATTTGTTGCATGTTTTGGAAGTTGTTTTACTGAACTTCCTAATTACCCAGGTAACATTATTTCCCTTCTCAGATCTTCGATGGGGTTGAAGACTATATAAATGTAGTTAATTTTCTCTCACGACTTGGCCAAGTTATTTATTATACAAGACCTAAGCTAGTTAGAATAGGATATTTGTACTTATTGTATATAATTTCATAGTAGGTTTAGAACTCTCTTACTTAAATAAAAGGGGGAGGTGTTGCGGGAGGTCTTTCCGCCCCTCCAACCAATAGCTGCTGTAATACCAGCCCATTGGGGCGTGGTCTCACTCCCTTTAAAAAAGCGGCTATTTCCTCTGCTCGCTCTCTTCTCTTCCTGCTCCGCTGGAGACTAGACTCCCTTCCTGGTTGCGCAGATGGCTGTTGTCTGGGATTGTGATCTGTAAGTTTTTTCCCCTTTAAATAAATAACACCCTATTAATCATAACTCCAAACTGGTGTTGCCTTGTTCGTGACTTACGCCTTCAGCATCCTGCAGTCTAGGTGTTCTCTAGAGCTAACGACTGAGAAGGAGGAGCCACCTGGGTGAATCCAGCACCCACTGGGAGACTGCCAGGCTCACGAATACACTGGAGAAGCCGTGGTTTAAGTGGGGACCACCCTGGCGCCCTTATGCATTTGCACACGCGGTCCCTGGCTGGCGGCACTCTTAAGAAAATTACAAAACTATTAGGAAATGGAATCTTGGAAATCCTTCCAGTTTAGAAATTTCAACATAGTCATAAGACAGAGGTTTTAAAGTGGTTATGAAAAATGATCAATGGATTTTTAAAAATCCTATATCAGCATGAGATGCCCGACATGTGATGTTGGATAATGTATATAATCTATTGCTATGCAACCAATCACCCCCTGAAACTGATGGCTTGGGCAACGCCTATCTTTTTAAACTTTAGAAAACATTTTAGTTTTAATTGTGTGTGTTGTGTATGTGTGTCAGTGTGGAGGCGTGTGCACCTGGCTGCAGTGCCCACAGACGCCGTTCCCACTGGAGCTAGACTGCAGGCAGTTGTAAGCAGCCTGGTATGGGAGCTGGAACCAAACACAGGTCCTCTGCAAGGGCGTACCCACTCTCAACCCCAGAGATGCTTCTGCAGCCCAGACCTCTCCCATTTTATTTGCTTCCAAGCCAATGCGCCAGCAATCTGGGCCGGTGTCTGGTTGGTTCTCCTACCCATGACTCTGCCGGGGTTGTTCATGTGGCTTCAGCCACCTGCTGCCTCCACTCAGCTGCCTGTACGTGAGTTCTCAACTGAGGAGTTCTTTGACTGGACGTGGTGTTGCCCTCCTACAGGCTCCATGAGCTGCTTCTAGCCAGCAGCGCATTACAGGAAACATCACAGGGAACAAGAAAGAGGTCAAGCAGAAGATGGTAGCGTTTTTAGCATGATACCTTTTTCAAATTTCCTAGAACTTAAGACATGTTGTAGAATGTTCAAACGTAGTTATGTTTTAAGGTGGCATATTCGTAACTGTTTCTCCTTTGCTAATCTTTAAGGTAATGTGCTTTTATTTCTTCCAAAATAGGAAATAAATTTAAAGAAACCAAAAGAGTTTTCCAGAGACACAAGGGAGCCGTGTTGGGAATAACAATCTGTCCAGTGAGCCAAGGCCAGGATCTTGTATTCCCAGGAAAGTTGGGGATGTTAGCCATCTCCTCTCTGCCCCCAGTTCCCAGCCCTTGAGTCATAACCCCCCAGACATCACCTCCCTATTGGACACACGGAACTTCCGAACTATGGACGAGGGCTCCTTTTCAGGGCCTTGTCAAAACCTCCCACTCCACGCCCCATCACCTCATTGTCCTATAATGCTGAAGGAGGCTTTTCAGCAACACCAGGTCTGCAGAGACCCAGACAGCATGGCAGGGATGTCTGAGGAATTTTGTGAGAACCAGTTACAATTCGGAGCCTTGGGTCCAAGCATGTTCCAGAAACAGGGAATACTTAGACAATGAAAGCATCTGTTTTCCCATATTTAAAAAGTATACATTTCAAACCAAAGGGCTTTTCTGCATCATTTTCTTAACTTTATGTTAAAAAAGCAATGAGCTAAGCCTCATCATGTATGTTTTCTAATGCATAAATAAAGTGGGAAATTAAATCCAGCTGGAAAAATTCCTTCGGGGAGAGTAATCTCGTTTACTCTGCAAGTTTCAGTTCATCTATAAATCAAGAGCTGGACCCCAAGTCAGTGAAGTAAACTAGCAATGGAGTTGAATTAGCTCTGCAGGGCAGCTGGACAGACTTGTAGATACGGAACACGGCCAAGATCGGTCTGAGCGGGCCTTGTGCCGTCTGTGGCGTCTGTCCATCTCCCTCTTGCCCCACGCCCACTGTGCCTTTCCGGAACCGGCCACTCATTCTTCTGTTCAGCCCTTTCTCAGGGAAGCTCGATCCCGTATGGAGAAGAGCTTCAGGCGATAGATGTTTGTAGGTCTGCAGTACAATGCTATTAAGCATACCTCTCCACACTGGTAAAGCTTCACCGAGGATTTCAAGCACGGAAGGCCCCCCTGCACAAGTGTGCACAAGTGTTCACTGCTAAAGGAAAACTGACAGCGTTTCTCGTCCAGACCAGAGCATGCTTAAGTGAAAAAGAACGAGATCACGAATCCCCGTGGTGTCCCTTGAGGCAATTTACTCTTCTACTCTTATTTGGAAGTAGTTAAACCTCAGGCTTGGCTTATCATGGAAATAAACTCTGGGAAAGAAAGCCTGCCAAGACCTTGGTTTGTTTGCTATGGCCAAGTGCTTGTCCCCTCCCCCACACTGGCCACCAGTGTCCAACTTTAACAGCCCACATAACAACGCCACACAGTGGGGACTGGGGGGGGGTGGACAGGTTTGGGAGAGGTCATGAGGGATACTGGTTGGAGTTCTCCACGCCACTAGAGCACGGTATGAGGCAGCCATCTGCAACCCTGCACCTCACCACACACCGTAGGGGCAGCCATTGTTCGTGGTCTTGCATCTCCCAGGTCTCTGAAGGATAAGAAATAAGTGCTTGATGTCTGAGCCACCTAATCTATTTTATTACAGCACCCTAAGTTAAAATACTGCCGTCCTGTGGGCCAGGGTTGCTCAGTAACTGCTCTTCCTCTGGCTGTGTGCAGATTACTGATGGAGGCCTAGAGGCCTTATCTGCAAAGTGCCATTATCTGCACATCCTGGACATCTCTGGCTGCATCCTCCTTACAGACCAGATCCTTCAGGGCCTTCAAATAGGCTGCAAACAACTCCGGATCCTCAAGATGCGATACTGCAGGTCCATCTCCGCGTAAGTAAGAGCTGGGTTCGGCAGGGCTTGGAAACGCCGGGAGAACATGGCGTGTGGCGGTACCATTGGAAATGCGGGGATAGCATGGCGTGTGGAGATACCATTGGAAACGCCGGGATAGGATGGCGTGTGGCAGTACCACTGGAAATACCAGGATAGGATGGCGTGTGGAGGTACCATTTGTAAGATGCAACCATTTACGTTTTGACTGAAACCAACATTCTGAGTTGAACCAGGGATGCCCTTCTAAAATTCACTGCACAGTTTTATATTCCTTTCACAGAAGGCTTTTACTTTCAGCACCTTTCTGTCTATGGTCAAGCAGACGACCAGTTACTTCTGCCCCTTGCCACTTAGTTCTAGCTCTGCTGCTGAAATGCAGTCCACTCGGTTCCCCTCCCGGAGTAAAGCAGCTCTTTGACCCCAGACTGGAAGAACTTGGGACTAGGGGAAGTGGGACTCCTTCCGAAGCCTCGCTGCTTCCTACTTGGGCCACGGACCCACTACTTAGTTGAGGTTGCCTGTGGGTAGAATGGCGGAAGAGCTGGGGTGAGGACTAGACCCCCACACACACACAATAGAGCACACACAGAAATGCACGTCCCCCTGCGTACTTCCTGTGGCCGTGGATAAGTGCCTGGCTACTATCGCTCTTTCCCCGTGAGGCTGCCACAAGCCCCGGCGACTTTGTGCTGAGTCAGCAGCTTCCTTCTGCTGCTTCTCAGTCCCCTACTATTTGTTAAGCTTTATTTTTAATACCATAATTTTCACAGAACCTCTTGTCACGTGACAAGATGGATGACCAGTACATTGCATAATACACTCATAACTTTTATAGAATCTAAGACTTAACAAATCCATTAAGGAGCACTGAATTTACGCCAGCTTCTATCTGGCTGAAGAACTAGATTACACAATCCACTATTTATCCATCCCCAAACTTAGCAGTGTGTTCTCAGCCTCATTATCAATGAGCCACAACTCTTTAAAACCAGTGCTTTCGGAAACCACAGGCGACAGATAATTGGATCAACTTTCAAGTCCTTTACTCCCTAAACAAATTCTCCCTGAAAGTCAAGGGCACTGCTGTCTCTGAGTGTAATGTCCTTGCATCAAAGACAGGGCCAGCAGGCTTGGCACAGCTTTGTTTGCTATTCTAGTTCTCACTGTAGATATCGTCTACTTACCTAGTGAAGTTTATTCCTCGGCTCTGTGTGTTTGCGTGCGTGTACCTGCACACTTGTACATGTTTGCTTCTTTTCAGTTATCATCAACGAGATCATCCCTAGTTTATTTTTGTATGTTATTGGTATATATAAAAAGCCACTGGGCTTTGGATGTTGACTTTTTGTAACTGGATATTTTATTGAAAGTATTTATCACACTTAAGAGTTACTGAGAAAAGTCACTGGGGTCTCTTATGATCATATTGTCTACAGATAACTTGAGTCCTTTTCTCCTTGTATTCTTTTCATTTCCTTTTCTTGCCTTACTGCTTTGGTTGAGAATATAAACATGATGTTGAAGAAGGGCGAAGGGAGTGGACACTTGCCACATTTTTGATTTTAGAGGAAATGCCCCCCCCCCAATTAGTGTACTTGTTATAGGTTGTTGTCGTCTTATGTTGAGGTATGCTCCTTCTACCCTTAGTGGTTCTCACTTTTGAGTCTTTATCATAAATGGATATCTAACGTTGTCAAAGGCCATTTCTGCATCTACTGAACTAATCTGTGAGTTCTGAGTCTCTGTATGCTCTGTTACATTTACTGGTTTGCATGTTACACCATCTGTACATCACTGCCGTGAAATCATCTTGATTATAGCAGGTGATCTTAATGTGCTGCTGTATTTGACTATGAATTTTTACATCTGTGTTCATCAAAGATGAAATGTGTATCTGTGTGTACACACATGTACACGTGTGTTGTTTTCTTATTTCTTCCTAAGAAAGTCTAACAATATTTTTTAATCCTTTGGCTATGAACCTATTTGAGTGACAACTTTCCAAGAGAGATATATCCTGGAGATAAAACTACATGGACTTTTAGCATGGGCCTTCCTTCCTAGAGTCCACCCTGCATCCACAGGGGTCTGTGAGCTCTGAGGACGAGCTCCTTTCTGACATTGTCAGCCATCACAGGGAGGGGAGGGAGGTCAGGTTGTTCCTCCATCAAAGAAACCGGAGCTGCATCAGGCTGAGCCTGAACTCAAAAGCGCTGTGACTTCGTGTTCCTGCTCTTTGGCCCGGACAGGGACATCCTCACTGCCTGGTGAGCCCTGAGTTGGCTGAGCTACAGATCCTTTCCCCGGGGTGCCCGATCATTTCACACAACTCCCAACTTCCTCTCACAAAAGCGAAGCTCTGCCTTGAATGTGGCTGGCGATAGTGTGTTTCCAATTCCAAATTTGGTCAGGTTTGAAAACCGTAGGGATTTCTTTTCTGCAGCTCGCTAATGCTCAGCACGGTCCTTGCAGGGCGGCAGCTCACAGAATGTCCGCTGTGGTCCAGCATCAGGAATACAGCTCCAGCAACCCTCCGAGATGGTTTGGGTATGACTCCGAAGGCAATCCTCTCGCAGAGCCTCACAGTAGAATGCCAGTTAGAAATTACTCAGAACTGATAGTCAAAGAGGCTTTCAGCAGTGATGAAGAAAGTCCCGACTCCAACGTCAAATAGGAAAAACAGAACATCTGGAACTGATTTTGATGTTTCTCCATTTGATGTTCATATTGTTAGTTGCTGGCTCCCAGTAACAACACAGAAAAGCCACATGCCTCTGTGTCTTCCTTCAAAGCAAACATCACCTCTCTCTCATGAGACCCCCACGGTAACCGGTCAATTTATTTTCAAACATTTATTTATTTAATGAATGTGTGCCCGTGTGAGACTGTGTGTGTGCAGAGTCCACAAAGTCTGAGAACTGGTGTCACAGAGGACTGTGAGAGTTATGTAGGTGCTGGGAACTGAACTTGGGTCTCCAAGGCCAGTCAAGACTTTTGACCACTAAGTCATCTCTCCAGTTCCAAGCAAACTAAGTTTAGTGAGATGATCAGACCCAGGGTTACAACACAGGAAGCAGCTCGGAAGACATGGCTTTTGTTTTTGAAGCAAGTAGGACATGCTCTCCAGCCAGGACCAGGAAGTGGAGATGCCACTGAAACCAGTCAGCTCTCCAGGACAAGGAAGTGGAGACGCCACTGAAACCAGTCAGCTCTTGAGCCAAGGTGATGGACGCCTCTGAGGTCTGTCAAGCTTTGATATCCATGACAGGGACATTTTCAAAGGCAAAAAGCTTTCTCATAGTTTCCAGACACTTGACAATAAAGGACAGCTAAAAACCCCTAGATTCAACACTCAACAGGAGCGATGTGGCCAGAAAGGGCGCTGCTGGGACACTGGCTGGGTCTTCTCAGCATGTCTGGGCTACACAGGGATGCCAGAAAGACAAAAGCAAAACACCTTTCAGTCTTTTTCCATGAAGAACTGGCCTTTAATTTCCTATCTGAAGACTAATTTAATATGCTTTTGTCATGTTTTTTTAACCATTATTTGATCCATTATCTTTACCATCCTAGGATCTGATGTTGTCAGACAGGCGGACACCTTTTCTGACCGCTACACACACGCTGAGGCAGGGACACTGGACCAGCCTTTTGGCTATTTCCTCAGTCCCTTATCTCTTAAATGAGGTTAGCCTGTTTACCTACAGTTTGAAACAGTTGAAACACTTAAAAGTTTTTAAAAGGTCTCTCACCATATTATTATTGAGTATCCCGTATCAGTTAAAGGCTTTTAAATCATTTCCCTCCCTCTTTCTGGATGTTTCTGGAATCAGTGGTAGAAAGTCCACGGGAGTCAAGAGCAAAGGGATCTGTTAAAACAGCAAGTTTTAAATCTGCACCAAAAGGCCGCAGTACAAGTGAGACCTTTAACTTTGGGGTTTGTGGCAGCTGTGTGAGGGCTGGCTTCAGGAGTCTGACCCCCGAGTGTTCTGTGCACACAACTCGGGAGACATAAAAGAGGCAGCTGGTTTCTCGGAGAGAAACATTTGCATGGGGAAGACCAGGTCAAGGAAAACAGACCCCACTATACCATCGAAGAAACTCAGCAGGTGCCTTATGGTCAAAGCCTGTTCCAAACTCTTAACGTCTTCTTAATAACAAGAATGAGGGGCCTGTTTGCTCATCCTGAGGAGGTAAACTTCAGAGCTAGAGAAATGGACTGGAAAGGCAGGACTTAGAAAAGCGGGCTATGTAAGGAGGCCACTGTGTACAGCCCACTAGTGACTCTGAGCATCCATCCTCAGCTGAATTCTAATTCATGGCCTTTGGGTTGTTGTTGGCTACTTTTATCAACTTTATTTTTAGTCATGAAATGTTTTTCTAATTGCCTAAGAGTGGGAAAATATTATAAAAATTGCCGTACTGCCTCGTCATATCCTTTGCTTAACAGCTCACCGCACAAGCACCGCACAGAATGTCCCAGCATGCGAGACAGTCCATTTTATATAAATTCTGTTTTATTAAGAGTAAATTCCAAGGGGACAGTCACAGACTGACAAGGCGGACTTTATTTCACAAACAAGATATTGGAAAGAATGTAAAGAAATGGGACAGCAATAAAAGGAGACTTATTATAAATAATAGAAAAGTTTATTTGAAATCAGTGTCTAATCACTAATTTATCAAAATCAAAATATAATCCAACAAATTGATCTTCTCAGTGTAGTATAGTTAATGTTGCAGTAGTCATTTCTAAAGAAATGGAGTTCATAGAGGAATTCTATAAATTATAGCCCGCCTTATAAACGTGATTGTATCTTCATACATCTCATGATAGAGTAAGTTCTTTCCCACTGTGCAGACACAGTAAATCAGAAGCACCTGCTTCTCCTGCATGAGAAGTGTTTATTCACAACTTAAAGACAATGTTACAGGAGGTACTAAGAAACTCTCATGTGGGCTGCAGTAACAATCCTAAGGTGACTCTGACACCTGGGCCTTGACACATTCATCTCTTGAGTGAGCGTCGTGCAGAGGATGTGACATACCCAGAATCATGTTAAATATCTTGGCCAACCAAGCATAGCTTTCTCCAGCTTATACAGAAGTCAGACGTTCAGAGCAGAAGGGCTCCGTGTGTCCCCATGAGGAAGGAGATGGCATACGGAAAGAGTGACCCTTTGTGGAAGGCAGTGAGACAACAATGTCACACAGGCATACAGAATGCGATTTCCCTATAATGTGAGTGGACCTGGGAGCCTCAGACAACATCCAGCCGAGAGACGCACGGAGCACAACGCCCACATCACCAACTATAAGCTGCTAAAGGCCATCTGAAGTCGTTAAATCTGGTAGAACTGTTCTCTTGCCCCCATCCCAGGATTCGCTTTTTATTTCTTCAGTAACTTGTAGCTGATAAATTCTGAGGTAAAGCGTAAGTTTTAAATTGTGTGTCACCTGAAGCAGCATGAGGAAGCCTTTCGCTGTTCCGTCAGGTTGTGAGCCGTTCCTCTGCATGCACAACATGCTATCTGTGTACACGAGCTGTCCGTCAGACACGCCGTGGCCACACTGGCCTTCCAGCCATCACAGTGGTGTCACGGTGCCAGAGGCCAAGACGTCCTGACGTTGGTAATGGCTCTAAGGTACAGTTGTAATGACATTTGCACTGGGTCTGACAAAGAGAAGCCACAAAATGCTTTAAGGAAAAATGTAAAAGTTCTCGACGTGATAAGAAAACAAATCATACGCTGAGGCAGCTGGGCCCTATGGTCAGGGTGGATGCACTGGTGGGACCCTGCGAAGAAGGAAGGAAGCATCTGTTTGCTATTGGAAGAACAGCCAGAGTTTTGCTCGGAGTATGTAACCGCTTAGTTGGACAGAAAAGGCGTTCAGCTGGCACGTGTGTTAAAGAAACACGGTTTAGAGGGGTTGACACTGCCTGAGGTTTCCGGCATCCTGGAGGCCTCAAACATGCCCTGGGGCTTCTGTAACTTGGAACACAGCAATAGAAAACAAACTAGTCAAGTGCACCTGTGTGGAACTCCCGAGACAGCTTGCCAGCATTCCCGCTGATGCTGTTGTCTGCGACATTTTCACACACACAGGTCTGCTAGTCCACGTGAGACTTGGCAGACACGGTGGAGCCGTTCTCAGTCCGACAGTTTCAGAGACTGAAACCAGCTCTGATGTTTAAAACTCACGGTGCCTTTGGGGGCGACAGCGGTTATCCACCTTTCCTGACCCCTTGCTTGATTCATGAGTCCTGAAATACAGAATTGCACCATGTTCAGTTTAGTAGCCAAGAACAATATTTAAGCAGACTAATCTTACTTGTTTATCTCAAAAAGGCAGAAATGCCTAAGAATGAGCACCTTGTGGAAACAAGTCAGTCAGGAAAGCCGTGAAGAGCGGCTGTGCGCTGCTCCTCGTTCACTCCGGCAGAACTGAGGTGAGTTGTCACACTGGTTCTAGTGCAGGCCGGGACAAGAGACTTCTGCGAATGGGTCATTAGCCTACTTGCATCTGAGGGGCACAACATGGTCAGTCTGACAAGTGTGGAGGTCTGGGGAGTCAGCTCTCTCCCCACAAGACAGCGAGCACATCAGCCCTCCTACATCTCCTCACACACCGACATCTTCTTACCCTGTCCCTCACAGGCTGCGTTACAGGCTTTATCACCAGCTGTGCTATGGGAAGGTGGAAGCTTCCTGAAGTGGGTCTCGTCGTACGTAAGTCTTTGGTCAGGGAGTGTGCCAGCCCCTCTTTACGCTCTTCTCATTCTGCAGCTGCCTCAGCACATGCCCACAGGTAAAGGGGCCACCTGCTGATCAGAGACTGGAGCTCCCCAAACTGTGAGCTCAGATAATTGTTACAGTAACCGAAGGCTGGCTAACATACTTTCCTGCCCAGGAGCCAACTGTTTCCTCACCCCACAACCTAGCGATCACTGATCTGCGTTGTAACTGTGATTATTTGTATTTACATAAAAAGAACTGTACTTTTAAAATTTTCTGTTTTTCTTTTTCCAAGGTAACTGAGGCTGTATCCATGTCACATTGTAGCAGGCAGCTTCCCCCAAGCATCAACACTTGTTGAGTGTTCACAGGTGGCATCTGTAGAACTTCGGGAACAGTCCCCCCGCCTCCCGCTGTCCCTGGGGCCTCAGCTTAGCCTTCTCTCTGCATCCTGCTGGGCCCGTCTGTTTCCCCCTCCTGTCCTGGGAACAGTGGCAGTCACACAGTGAGATGTTTTCTCTCTCTGACCACCTCTGCCATCAACACACCCCGCGCCGTCTCTCTCCCGAGAGCCACCGACGTGAAACCAGCGACGATGGGACCAGAGGGAGCTGTGGGTATGTTCCTGCAGTCCGCCATCAACACTTCCTTTTTCCCTGTTAACACCAGGAGGCAGTCTCAGCTGAGGCCATGCTCCTTTGTAATATGTGGTCTTTATGTCACACTCCAAGTTCTCTGCATTCTCGCTTCCCTTCCCTTCCTGCTGAACCACAGTTGGGAGTGTGTCCTGGACTCCCTGCCCCTGCTCCAGAGCCACTTCCTGGGCCGCCTTCCCGTGCGCTCTCCTTGCTGTGTTTCCAATACTCCCAAGCCCGCACACCTCACCTTTGCTACTCCTGCCCCTGCCACTCTTCAGGGAGGGTCGACTTCACCCCTAACTGCCTTTCTTGTGTCTTGTTGCATTTGATAGGCGTGTCTGACACTGATGGATTTTCTACAATACAGAATTTCTTTTTCTAGGGATTCAAATAAACATGGAGGAAAGACTGGAATTCCTTAACTTTTCGTCGTTAATAAAGTATCAACAGACGTTCCTGGCCTTTTCCATAATACCCAGCCCTCATCACTGCCTCAATATGTGTGTTTGTCTTATGGAGTAAGAAGCCGATCGGCCCACTTCCTTCTGCAGCAGGAGAGGCCAAGAGCAAGGCTGCTGCTTACACACGACAGATGAGTGACTTCAGTTACCCTCCACACTCCAAGGCCGGACACCACAAACTCTGTCCTGCCAACAGGTACTTCTTTCACTAAAGTGCTTGTACTCTGGCCTGAGTCTGTGCAGATGCTCGTCTGACTTGTATGGTTTACAGATCCTTCAGATCCAAGTCTGGCAACACACCGGAGCCTAGTTCCAAAACCTTATCCTTACATGTCTCTCTAAAAATGGAGACATTTTCTGTGGCTAAAGAAAGGGCAGATGGCCATTCTGAGGCAGTGTACCTTCCAGCAAGTGGGAAGGACAGTCGTCTACCCTGCTCTAACTCTGCCGTTTGCCCTCTAGCCTCCTGCTCAGATCCCCCAATATGTCATTTCCAGTTCCTTTAGTTAACTCAGAACATGCCTGGTTTTTTCGTCATAAGAATTTAATGAGTGAATTCATGTAAAACACAGCAGCAGTATCAGCCATTGCGTATGCTGTATGAGTGCCAGTATCACTGTCTTACTTCTATCAGATGCAAAAATATTACTAAATGTACAATTTTTCACATTATATTTTTCTAGAAGCTAATGAAATTGAGCAATTCTTAACTTGTATCAAACTATAGTAGTAAAATGGAATAAATAACAATAGAACTCAAGACATTTGGTATAGGTAAAATACGATGGAGTGAATTATCTATTTTTTCCTAGTTGTATCTGAAATGCATCTCTACCTCTGACAGTCATCACCCAAAGCAACTGAACTTGTCAGGTCAGTATTCTGTGGGAAGCATCATGCAAACCTAGCATCTGTGCCCCAAATAATTTCTAACCTTTCTGGCATGTGAACGTCACACTTTAACTTAACACTACAGAACACCAGAAAAGACCAAATCTGAATTATAGGAATAAATGAAAGAAAAGACTCTGTCGTCAGTGTCACTGGCCATATTTAATAAGATCATAAAAGAAAATGTTCCCAAGTTAAGGAAAGACAGACACACATAGCACACAGCACCCCAAAGGCAGGCCCAGCACAGCCCAGCGAAGACAACTGGTCACAAGCAGAGGGCACAAAGAAAGAACACAAGTCCCACACAGAGGAAAACCTGCCAGAAGCTGACTTCTCAATGGAAACTTTAAAAGTCAGAAGAACCTCTAAGAACATATCCTAAAATACCATGGTTACCAATCTAATTACTGTGCCCAGGAAAGCTATCTGCCATAGTCAAGGAGAAATAAAAACTTGCCATGGTATAAACAGGCTAAAAGAAACCGTGTCCACCAAACCAGCTCCACTTCAAAAACACTGGAACCAGTGTTCCTTTGTACTGAAGAGAGGAGCAAGTGTAGCCAAGAGACCAGAGAAAGAAGGCAAATGGAGCCTTAGTTACTGGAACACAACGCAGGGCTAGGAACACAAACTGAAAACAATGACAGGTCTACAACCGACATACACCTTTTCAATAACTTACACCTTCACGGCCTCAACTCTCCAGTCAGAAGACACGGGCTGACTGTAAGAAAACAAAACATCTTTCTGTTGTCCACAAGAAACTCAGCTTTAAAGACTGTCAGAGTGGAAGGATGGGAGAGTGTTGTGAACACACGGGGCCTGGAAGTGAACGAGCTGTCACCAAGCTGCGGAGTACCGCCGGAAGGAAAGGCGCAGACTACCTTACACCCAGTAGGTGATTTCACCACTCACCTGTCACCAACACCCAGGTCATCTGGACAAACAAACTGTATAATGTCAGAATTGAATGACTTATCCACCAAGCTGACCTAACAGGTCCACAGGAAATTCTACTCAAATGCCAAGTATAAGCATTCTACTCAGGAGCCCATGGAAGCATCTCTAACGTAGATTGCATCCTGGGACAAAAACCAAATCTTAACACAATCAGGACAAATGATAAAATTCCATGTATCTTATCTGGCCATGGTGAAAAAAACTTAAAAGCAAAAGCAAACAGTTTTCTCATACTTACACAAACTCGGGGAGCTGAAACAACACATTACGAAATGATGAATGAGTAAAGAAATCAAGAAAAAACATTTCTGGGACTAAATGAAAACGAAAACACAGAACAATAAAACCTCTGGGAAAGAGATTAAAAGTATTCCTAAAAAGGGAAATTCGTAAGTCCTAAGTCCCACTGCTTAGATTAAAAAATAGAATGAACTCAAATAAATGACATAGTGATACAACTCAAGAATTTGGAAAAGCACAAACCAAACAAAACCCAATATGTGTCAGGAAATAATAAAAATCAGGGCAAGAATTAATGAGATAGGGTCAAGGAAAATTCAAGTTAAGAGCTGGTTCTTTGAAAACATAGGATTGAAAGTCTTTTGGCCAAACTAACCAAAATAAAGAGATGATCTATATTAGCAGAATTAAAAATCAACAGGCAAAAATTACAACAGATAGAAAGAAAGTCAGAATACCATAAGGAAATTCTTTAGCAACCCATACTCCATTAAGTTAGAAAACTTAAATGAACAAATGCCTGTATTTATCCAAACCACCAAATGTAAACTAGGGAGAGTTCATCAACACAGACCCAAAAAGCCTAGAGAGATTCACAGCAGAACCAGAATTTCAAAGACGTGCTACAACCAGTACTTCTTAAATTATTCAAACAAACAGAAACAGAAGCGATGCTTCCAAACTCCAATGAAGCCAGTATTAGTCTACTAGGCAAACCAGATAAATCCCCAAGAAGAAAGAAAACTTCACGTCAAAATTCCTGAGGAAGCCGGGCGGTGGTGGCGCACGCCTTTAATCCCAGCACTGGGGAGGCAGAGGCAGGCAGATCTCTGTGAGTTCGAGACCAGCCTGGTCTACAAGAGCTAGTTCCAGGACAGGAACCAAAGCTACACAGAAAAACCCTGTCTCGAAAAAAAAAAAAAAATTCCTGAGGAACACAGACACAGAAATCCCCAGTATTAACACTTGTAAGTCTAATAAGTCTAATACAGGCAAATTGTATCCACGAGCTACAGGGATGGTTTAACGTATTTTTGTTAACAAATACAACAAGACATATAAGTGGACTGGGAGACAATCTACACGATCACCTTTATAAATCCTAGACCTGTGTTGAAGAGTCTAGGAATAGAATATAGAAATATAAAGTTGTAAGACCAAACACATTTTGGGAGAAAAAAATAATGAAGTTGGCAGCCACTGTTTACTCTAACAAACACTTTCTGCCTTAAGAGCAGACATCCTGACAGTCACTGTGAACAGAGGTCTCCTGCCTCCCAGCTTCCCAGCCAGACAGGTTAGCTCCTAACTGTGGCCTCTAGGGGATCCTCTGCCTGAGGCCTTGCATTCCTTCAGGGACAGTGAAAAGCGGCTGTGTCAGCCACAGGCTTTTGCAAACATCCTAAGTTAATATTCTAACATCCTATAACCAAACGCTGTAAAACTTCTAATGGAGTGTGACTTTAAGCCTGACCTCAAGGCTGTATGAGCTCTCTGGCCCATACCCGGTGCTTGATTTTACTACAAGACGAGGCCCAGAACCAGCCCCATGACCACAGTTTCAGAAGCCTGATCTCTGGCTGTGGTCACAGCTATAGCTGATAGCTTTGTGTGCCCCATGGTGATTTTTTCTTTCTCAGGGATAAAGCTCGCTCTGGTTGAACAGACTTTGGTGGTCTGTCCCCCATCACTGTGTGATCCAGGGCCCCACTGCCTTTGGAAGCTTGTCTCTCTCCCCTCAGCACAGTCAGCCAGAGTCGCGCTCAGCAGCTCCCTCTTCAGTTGTGCTGGACCCTGATGACATCATCAGAGCCACCGTGGGCTCTCTTCCCATTGGTTCTATCCCTCAGCGATCGCTTTCTTTAAGTGCCCGATGTCAGTGTCTTCAAAACTGATGAAAAATGTATTTTACTATTCCTCTGTCATTGTTTCAGGTGAAAGGGAAACTTAATCCCTGTAACTGCATCCTGCCTGGGAGACTTCTTTTCAAAAATATTATACAAGTCAAATGGTCATGGCGCACGCCTTTAATCCCAGCACTCAGGAGGCAGAGGCAGGCGGATCTCTAAGAGTTCAAGACCAGCCTGGTCTACAAGAGCTAGTTCCAGGACAGCCTCCAAAGCTACAGAGAAATCCTGTCTCAGAAAAAAAAAAATGTTATACAAATGCTATCAGCCTCTACCAAGATCACAATGAGCAGAAGCAAATCCTGGCCCTTTTGGTGGACATGAACAAAGGAGCTGTCTGTCTCATTACCCATGGTATTTCCAAAATCTCACACTCTGTTAAGGAAATATAAGGACACAAGTGTGATGAAAACGGTTCCAACATTAATTCTCCATCAGCATATTTAAGTGAATGCTTTGAGATCTCACAGGCTGGAGAGATGGCTCAGCGGTTAAGAGCACTGGCTGCTTTTCCAAAAAGGACTTGGGCACAATTCAGAGCACCCACATGGCAGCTCAACACTGTCCGTAATTACAGTTCCAAGGCTTCTGACACCTCTCACAGACAGACATGCAGGCGAAAACCAGTAAAGAAAAAAAGCCTTCCATACATAAACCTGATAGCATTGTTTCCAGTTACTGAATCTCCCCAATATGATCCTAAATATACATATGACACTAACAAATCACTTCTGTATATTCAGAATCAGCAGTTATTTCTAAAAGTCGTGTCATCAAAAGACTGCACTTTTTTTTCCTTATTTGGAGCAATAAAATCTATCCTTACGTTACAAAATAGAACCCAAGGACTTAGGTCACATTCCAACTTCTTTCCAACCTCTGGCCCGATTCTCCAGTGCGTGGAGGCCAGGGGATAGCCCCTGGATTGTTCCTCGGGTCCTATCCATCCTCTATTTTCAGACAGGTTTTCTCAAATGACTGGAACTCACTGAGTCGGCGAGACTGGCTGGCCAGAGAGCCCAGGAACCAGCCTGTGGCCTCCTCCCCAGTGCTACGATTACTTATGATAATCTGTTTGTTTGTTTGTTTGTTCTAAATATATGGGTGTGGGTTCTGGGGTGAAACCCAAGTGCTCATGCTCACAAGGCAAGCATTTTATTGGCTGAGTCTCTTCTCCAGCCCTGGTTTCCACTCTAGGCAGTAAAACGCTGAGAACTCTGTGTGCGTGCGTGTGTGTGTGTGTGTGCGCGCGTGTGTGTGTGCGCGCGCGTGTGTGTCTGTGTGCGTGCGTGTGTGTGCATGTTTGTGTCTGTGTGTGTGTGCATGTGTGTGTGTGCATGTGTCTGTGTGTGTGCATGTGTCTGTGTGTGCATGTGTCTGTGTGTGTGCATGTGTGTGTGTCTGTGTGTGTGCGTGTGTGTCTGTGTGTGCATGTGTGTGTCTGTGTGTGTGTGTGTCTGTCTGTGTGTGTGTCTGTGTGTGTGTGCGCGTGTGCATGTGTGCGTGTGCGTGTGTGTCTGTCTGTGTGTCTGTGTGCGTGTGTGTGTCTGTGTGCATGTGTGTGTGTCTCTGTGTGTGTGCGTGTGTGTGCATGTGTGTGTGTGTGTGCATGTCTGTGTGTGTGTGTCTGTGTGTGTGCATGTGTGTGTGTGTGTGTCTTACGCTGCAGTCTGAGCTGGAGCTGAGCAGCAGTGCTGGCGTCCACACGAGATAAGCAGGACAATGTCAGTCTTTCCTCTAACATTCTTTATTGTACCACAGGTACTTCAGGGCTTGGAGCTAGATACACCACAACCAAGTTTCATAAGTAAATTGATGAAACTGAATTCTAAAACTCAATAGAAACTTGACTTTAAGAACACCCTTTCATATCCATGGCCAGGGTCTCACGGGTGAGCCTGTCGCACATGGACACGGGCAGTTTACTTCAGTGCTCTTCCTGATGACATTGTGACATTGTATTAGAATTTAAAGAGAACTGCTAGCAATAATTTTAGTAACCATTAAAACAAATACTTAAAGAAAGCATAGGCATTAGTGTGGCTGGAAGTAATGAAAAATGCACAAAAATTATTCAAGTTGTGGAACCGAGACTTTGCCACACCAAAAGAGAGAATTTACAGTGTGCACAGCAAACAGGATTCCTGTCTCACCACGCAGTTAACTTAAGGCTTGTGTAATAATGTAAAAGGCCCAGACTTTTATGTAAGGACAGACGCGCTGAGTGACCCTACGTGAGTGAGGTCTTTTCTACGGTGTCTGCACCACGTCACTGACAGTCACTGGAAGAACAACGTCAAGCACATGGGAACTGCCGTGAGCACTGCCACTCACGCATGCGCAATGGCCATCTACCCATGCTTAACTGGAAGAGCAGTGCGCAAACTGCCACTCACGCATGCGCGGTGGCCATCTACCCATGATTAACTGGAAGAGCCGTTAGCACTGCCACTCACGCATGCGCGGTGGCCATCCACCCACCGCAGTCGGCTTACCTGTGACCGTCACGCCACCACCTTTATGATCCTTGGCCATGTCGTGAACTTGAGCGTCTGCATCCACAACCACTTCTTTCCCTGATAACTTTAAATAAGCTCGTAAAGAAGATGGGGCCTTGACAGTAATAGAGCCTGCGGTAAATTTAGAGTGAGACAACACAAATAAGTAATTATAATTTCATTAAAATATTGCTCCTGATTTACTGTTTTTCTCCTCAGTATAACGATGTAAACAGCAGCGAATTCTTTTTCCCAGGCAGTCGAGCAGTCTGCAAACACCTGTCATGGCTGTGTTGGGAGTGTGGGCATCAGAACACGAGGAACTACCAGATCTCCTTTGCTGACTCCCCACCCAGCTAGGCCACACCAAAAAGGGGCAGTAGTCACCACACGCGTGCAGAGACCCCGACAGTAGTCACCACACGCGTGCAGAGACCCCGACAGTAGTCACCACACGCGTGCAGAGACACCGACAAGTGCTACTTCATTTCATGGAGTCCGGCGGAGGACTGGCTCAAGTGCCCACCATGGCTGCAGTCAGATGCAGGTTCAGAGCAAGGACGACCAGCCTGCTTCAGTCAGTCTGATGCTCCCCACACCACTGGGCCACGTGACCCACAGAAGCCTGGGTGTTCAGTCGTGCTAGAGCGTAAGGAAAAATAACAAAACCATCTGGACTCCAGCTGACTAGCGATCAGCTACAGTCTTTGAAGTACTAACAGCAAAGCTCTCAGCTTTTTTTCAGTGCGGTCTGCTGGTGATCCCAAAGGAAGATTCTAGATTCTAGAGGACTACATCAGAAAAAGTACTCCGTTCGCTGTGAGATCCTGTGAACAATCACAGTGCAGGGTCACAGCACACACCTACTGCACAGCGCCATTCACCGTCAAAGTATAACACCATGTTCGCTTGTTGTACAGAAAGAAAGTTTGTCTCCTTGGCCATCTGTACTAAGCGTAAAGATGTCTGGTGGCTAGATCAGGATCTAATGGGAGATAACCAACCACCTGTCTCCCAATGTTACATCACACATTACATCATCACATTACATCATCCTCTCCTCTCATTATTACATCACTACATCACATCATCCTCTCATTATTACATCACACATTGCATCATCACATTACATCATCCTCTCCTCTCATTATTACATCACTACATTACATCATCCTCTCCTCTCATTATTACATCACTACATTACATCATCACATTACATCATCCTCTCCTCTCATTCCACACCAAGCACTGGCGGTCCAGTTGGCTCACCTTCCTGTGAAGTCAGTGCCACTTCCTCCAGCTGGCTGATATAAACATCTATGGCACCCTGGTGACTTGATGCCTTTAGACACCCAGAGGACGAACCTGGGAGAGAGAAAAGCATAACCACGATTGTTCTTGATGGGATTATAAACTTGAAATAAAGGCCCTGCCAACATATAGGTAAGAACCCACAGACCTTGCGAGGCTTTTCATTTTCTGTATAGCAGTGTTATTATTTTTATCAAAATGTAAACAAGTATTAAAAGTTTAGAAACATACACCTAGACAGGTAACAAAACTCACCTACAGAACTCTGAAAATGCATCTCTTCTCAAACTTTTAATTTAAGTTTTTTTGTGTATGCTGTTGCTGGTAAGAATGTCTATGGACCGCTTCCCTGCCGAGTACCAAAGAATCCAGAAGAGGGCATTGGGTCCTCGGAACTGGAGTCACAGACAGTGAAGGCCCCGTGTGGGTGCTGGGAACCAAACCCAGATCCTCTGGAAGAGCGCCAGTGCTCTTAACCCCTGAGCCATCTCTCCTGCCCCAGGTACATGGCCTGAAGTCTGACGGGGGGAAGGGTGGTAACAACTGGCAGCCAATGCCAAGGCCAGAAAGCATCACTTAATCATTCCGCTTATTCTCAAACTGACAAATTTAGGAGACCACCAGCATTAGCCTTGTGTTCTGTCTATCTAAACAGGGACAAGGTGAGTGAGACAGTCAGCGTTTCTCTTCAGCAAACCCACTGTAGGAGAGTAATGTCATCCACAGGCTTTACTGCATTGCCTGGAGGGCAGCAAGGGTGTGGAGCAATCACAGAAAGCAGGGAGGCTGTTTTCTGTTTTCAGTTAATACTTCTTGACAGGTTTCTGGTTTTGAATAGGTATCTTCAAGTCAGACTAAGGAAATCATAACTTAATCCTTCTATGGACTCAAACTTCCCCATGTTGTCAATGTCTCTTGTTTTCAGCAGACCAACAGGTTCAGGTCAAGGGGAAACAAAGTCAGAGACGAGGAAACTGGAGCATGACTTGAAGTGCCAGTGCTAAAGGTCATCTTCCCTACCCCCACGGTCACCGAAACTTTCGTGCAATATCCAGCCTGACCGTACTGAGGAGGCCACAGCATATTCTTTCCAGGAGCCCCTCTTGAAAGTGTATTTTATCAAGGGCTTTGCCTACTTCAATCAAGAAGCAAACTAGGAACAGTGGTGAAAATCATGTGAAAAATAATACCTTTTATAAAATATGGAGAGAAAAGATATTATCCACAAAGGCAATGCTTTTCTTTCAAATTTTAAATAACTTCAATCAAACTTGGAAGTGAATTATTTAAGGTCTGGCACAAAGATCATTTAGAATAATTTGTCTCCAGTTTATACCAAAAGATCCTTTATCAGACCCCAATTATTAGTTTTCCGGTGTCAAATGTAAATGCCAGTGTAAGTAAATGGGGACATTAGGAAATGACAGGAGACAGAGACTGGCTACATCATTGCTGGATGAGTACCAACAGAAACCCCCGATTAAAGAAACCATAAAAATATATTACGATCACAATGTGTACAGATGTCATCCCAGCCTGAACAAAGTGCTTGAAAACTAGTTCTCTGGGAAAGGGGGCTCTACAAGAACGTGAAGTGAGCCACAAACAATGCTTTTATTCCCTTCACCACAGGGAAGATAATAAGTTACAAAGTAATCATATTTGAATGTTATCAGTGCTGAGCTTTGCTAATGTCTCATTTTCAAATCTGTCAAAAAGCTCAAGACGTGCTTCATAAAGAGTAAGCGCACATGTGACATTTAAAACCTATGTAGCAAACATGAAATCTCAAAGCTGTAGGCAGGACAGTAAGTCTTCTGTAGGAATGAGGGCACAGTAGGCTGTCTGATTCCAGTCCGCCATGCGCACGCGTGTGCGCAAACACACACACACGTGAACTCAGTAGCCTGTTTTTATGAACACATACATGTGTGTGTAAAACAGAGAAGGCCATGAATTTGAGGGGGCATTGGAGGAGTTGGCAGGGTGAGAGAATGGGGTGGGGATGACGTAAACACAAGCACTCATGGATGAAACTCAAAAAACTCTCAAAAATTTTAGATTAATAAAACCCAGCAGTTTGCATTTTAAAGTTATGCAGCAAAAAACTTTGTGTAATACAGTTGTTGAAACGATAATTAGCCATCAAGAGTAAAATGATGACTTTGTCCACAGAGTTCCACACTTTAAAGGTTTACGGAGAAGCTGATGTGAAGTCCCACAGCTCCTGGAGAACAGAAACCACAGAGGAGACAGGAGTGCGTAGACTCCCACAGAGAATTATCTACCAATAGAATTCTGGACAAAATCTTGTCTTCCAGAGACCACTGAGCTGTTTTACTTTTAATAACTCAAAAGTGAAATACTGATGTCAACCAGCAGCCTAACACCAGGCTCGAGCAAAGAAACGTGGAGTTGTAGCGTATTTCGTTGACAAGAGAAGAACAACTAAGCTTGAAAAGTTAGCATTTTAAATGTGTTGTTTTCTTTTAGATACATGGAAAACTTCAAAATTGGATAAGCATGTTCAAAGCAAGGCTTTAAATGTTTTTAAATTTCTACTTCCAAGCTATTAGGAGGGACAAGTTGTTTGTTACCTGGTTCATATGGTCTTAAACCTACACAAAGTGCAAGGGCAGGCAGATTTTATACACAGGACGGAAGAGTTTGAAAGTAGAATTTTAAAGCGACTTCAAGTTTTCCATGGGGTTCCCTCTGGGTATTCCACAAATAAGGGGCAAACAGTCCTCAGGGAGTGTGTGAGCCACGCCACGTTCACCTTCTTAAAAGAGGAAACCCAGTTTGGCCATGCCTTGAAGAGGTCACAGGGAACAGACGGAGTAGAAGGCAAGCAACTCTGCCAGCACTCCCGTCCCATCACCAGCTCATCGGCCCTGCTTTCTCCTGCTCACCCATTCTAATTTCAGCATGGTCTTGTCTCAGAAAGAGATCCCACAGGCTGAGCATCCTGAACACGTGATATTCGCCATCTGAGCCGTCTCGGGACGGAAGCGACACACACAAGGTTCTAAGACCTAGTCTCACTTCGTCTCCCACCACACCCAGCACATCATCAAAACTGATAAACCCACCTCACTCCTAAGGCTTGTTCTTGCCAGCCCTCTGTGCGGGAGGCTCTTTACACATCATTTTACAAGCCTTTTAGCTGTTATTTTGGTAACCTCAATTAAGATGTCTCTCTTCTTCCCTGGATGCCCAACTGCAGTAACTTTCTTTCCATAAGCAATCTCTGTCCCATTACCCTTATTTCCTCATTGTACCCACGGTGATCTGAAATCACCTTTTGTTATTTACATGTCTGTTCTTTTTCTCCGGGCACTCAGACTGATATATTCCCACTTAGTAAAAGAATTCCTGACATATAGACACCCATAAACACAGATGAAAAAGGTATTGGCGTGCCTAATGGTTGACATGAAATGATAACAGTTTTGGAAACAATTTGCACACACACACACACACAAATAAGTGTATTTTTTTTCAAAGAGTGAACGCAGCTGTTTAAAGAACTCAAGAAATTTATATGATTTCCTTCCTTAATACTAGGTCCAGGGCATTTTCTCTGAGTGGACACATTCATCTTGGCCTGTCTATACATGACCTACATATCGAGTAAGGCTCGTGAGATAAACTATAGATTTTAATAAATCATCACAATAACAGGTGTTGTAAGTCATTACCAACCAGCACCTTGGCACATACCTACTGTAATGTTACCCATCTTGCTCTGTAATACGATATTTCCTGCAAAAGAGAGAATGAGAATTTCATATTACTAGGGATAATGAAGAAGGAACCGTGCTACAGAGAACCCTAATGCACAGCTGCACACCCACAACGCCACTTATGCTACTACTGCCCCTGTGGTCATTTCTGTCAGCACCAGAAATCCAGTCAGAGAAAACGACTTGGGGATATAACCTCCTCCTCTTTTCCCACACTGAAGGTTTTACAGCCTATCTACAAAACAATCACACACACACACACACACACACACACACACACACACACACGGAGAGAAAGCAATGACACCCTGACACAATGTACTTCCCCCACCTTTTCAACCTAAACATCAACACCAGTTCACTAATTAGACAGTACAAAGCCAGGTTTTAGCCAAGAACACAAATGTTTCGTGGAAATGTGTCTTTTTCTTCCAGCCCAGTTGCCACATCTGTTGGATTAAAGTAGTTTCGAGCCAAGTGTTAAATGGTTTGGAAGAACAATAATGAATACACAGATGTATGACTAACAAAGAAAAAGGCTTCAAAGCTTTCCACTATGCAGTGAAAATACGTTTTCCAGAACTACGATAGGGTGTTGCAACCATTCCTCTCAGCCTCTTTAAAAACAGGGTTGCTCTTCCCATGTGTGTCTGTAGGTACAAGTACCCCCAGAACCAGAAATTCAGAGCTTCTCTCTCCAAAATGTGTGCAATGACATCATCCCTTCTAATATAACCTAAAACTACAGAAACAAGGAATAACTTGATTCAAAATTAGTCAATTCAATATTAATTCAAAATCAATCAATCAATTGAAAATTATTTCATATATTTTGAAAATAGTATGTCAATTTCTGGAAAAAGTAAAAAGAAAGGCACAATTCATGTGCCCCATCGTCAGACTTGCATGATGGCAAAAGTGGCTGTAAAGGTGGAACACCCATCACCCTTCATGTGAGCACAAGGGGTGCATTGATGTAGGGTAAGAACATGGTTTTAGTGGAGAAGCCCATGAAATTATTTTTATGTCAAGGCTTTGAAGACCATGTGAAATGTGTCGGGTAAACATTACTTCACTGGTGTGCTCTACAACGCATCCAGCTGTCAGACCCGGTAAATGCAGTCTCAGCACCGCGTGCAGACGAGAGTCAAAAGCGGTCGCTCTCGAATGGCTCCCGCTAGACCTCCCTCGGAGCACCCACGCTCTCTGCAGGATCCTCCATCACGTGCAGGCCAGACAAAGAGAGCGGGAGGAAGGTGCTGGGCAGTCACCGCCATGATTCGGTTATAAAAAGATTCTAATTCTGTATTCCGAGTCCCTGCTACTCTCGGGAAGTCAGCTGTAACGCTGTCAACTGCCCCACGACAAAGAAATCAAGGGGCCTGGGCTAACAGGATGGACTGCATTCTAGCAACAGCCATGAGGAGGCACGGAGCCGTATTTACTCTCTCTGAACAGAGAGCTCATGGCCCAGGATGACATCGTGATTATAATCCAGGAGAGATCTTACGTCAGAAACCCAGCTAGGCCGCTCTGAGACATAGTTTTACAGTCACCTAGCCAGTGAGTCTAGTCTCAAATACACAAGAAAGCTGATCCTATACACTTAAAATAGCCTTAAATTCATGTAGCAAAATACCATTTTTAGATGAAAATATGATTCTCTCAAACTTGACTATGATACAAAGTCTTGAGAAAATGATTATTACAGCTATAAAAAGGCCCACAGAGAATGAAGACCGCTTCTCATTATAGGGACATGTGTCTGCTAACATCCCGCTGGAATAGTAGAGCCCTACTACACAGTCAAACACAGTGGAGCAAAAGGCTGGGGATCTGAAGAATGGCTATAAAGAATATTTCAAAAATATTTTCACTGGGAAGTGGTTGTGGACACCTTTAATCCCAGCTCTCAGGAGGTAGAGGCAGGCGGATCTCTGTGAGTTCAAGGCCAGTCTGGTCTACAGAGCGAGTTCCAGGACAGCCAGGGACAACAACTAGAGATGGAAGTCCTTCTGCTCAGCTATGTGTCCTTTACAGGTGGGCATCACTTCCTGCCCAAGTCCACACTCCTGAAGTCAGCCAGTAACTGTGTTGAACAAGTAAGTTGAACTGTAGCAGAGCCTATGACTCCCCCTGCAGAGCCCATCAGACCTAAAATATCTATTATATTAGATACAATACCTTAACTATGGTCACCACAGAAATGTGATGCTTATTAGAAGTCACTTAAAATATGAAATTACAAGTTATTACTATTCCACTACTGCTTACAACTAAATGCACACTGAATAACACCAAAAAAGGTAAGAAAAGCATTTGTTTTATTTGGATATAGCTCTGCTCTATTTTAGGTTCCAGTAATGTTATCAGTGTAGGGATTGTTGAGCTCAATCATCAAACAGAGGTGGAAGGTTATTCTAATCTCTTAAATTCTCTCTCTCTAACAGAAGACCACTGCTAGCCCGACCAGCACTAGCCAATCCCCGATTTGTTACTTGCTAACCTGACCAGCCCTAGCCAATCCCCGATTTGTTATTTGCTAACCTGACCAGCACTAGCCAATCCTAATACAACTTAGGTTTGAGCTCCCTACTAAAACGCAGGAGTGTTGCAAATGTACAGACACCAGCATTACTAAGGAGTGAAATGAGCAGACATCTATGGGAAAGCGGTCAAGCCCACGCTTCCCGGAAGATGGCCGACGGACATTTAGCAGACGTGCACACACTGAACGCACTTCTTCCAAGGACTAAGCGGGTCTTATTACCACCCACACGTATTTCAGAAAATACAGCTGGATTTGGATCAGATGCTCTGTGGAAACACAAAGGGGCACCAACCGCCAGCAGCCTTGGCCATGTCTCTCACCATTGTGGTCTCTTTCTCTCCACAATGCGAACATTCACTAAGTGATGCTGTCCTCTGTGGAGACACGTTCGGGACATCACAAGAAGATACTTAAAGACAACTGAGATGGCACAGTACTAAGAGGACCTCTGCCGGCACAAAACACATGAATGCACCGTACCCAACATTAGTATCACAGAGTTCCTATAATCTGATCTACCCAAATGTTTAACTTACTTAACGGTTACCTCTCCTATCATAAAAAGTAACCACTAAGAAATCTATCTTTATTAATACTGCCTTTATTTTATTTCCTTAATGTTTTTCTTATAAAAATCCATCTTTATTAATACTGCCTTTATTTCATTTCTTTCATGTGTTTACATATCATAACTACTGGGTCTGGAGAGAGAGCACGCACATGCTGTACACACACGCACACACATGCACACACAATGTAAAATAATACAAATCTTTTTCAAAAAATCAGAATTACCATAGCTTCATATATAACAGCATAATTTGCAAATTCTTGGTAAAATAAAATAAAGTTAGCTTGTAAGTTTATTTTCATAGATTTTTTTTAAAAAAAGATAGCGAGTCTGCAACTAATTATCTAGAAGGCCAGTTCCTGATCCTTCTTGAACTATACACTCATCTCTTAAATTTCATGCTGTGTGAAAAGCCTGAAATGTACTAGGCCCTTGTCAGCTTACCATGAACATTTCCTAATGCAATATCCCCAGCAGCAGAAGACAAAAATGAAGATTCGGTATAAAGATACTTGACTTTCAGTAAACCATCCTCTGTAGATATATTAACGCAACTTCCCTGAAGTTTATCTACGGTCACACTCTAGTGAAAGAGAGACTGCAATCAGTTCATTATAAAACAAACTGTAACAACCACAACGGTCACCTAGAACAGCAGTTCTCACCTGTGAGCTACAACCCCCACTGCGGTCACACATTGGACACTGTTTACGGTTCACAACAGTGGCAAAATCACAGTTACGAAGGGACAACGAGATAACTTTATGATTGAGGGTCACCCCACAGGAGGAACTGTACTGAAGGGTTGTAGCGTTCGGAAGGTTGAGAACTGCTGATCTACAATGATACCAACTCCATGAGAAGTAAACATCTCCATGACAACTGACTCCCAGCTCTAGCTGCCAAGACAGTGAGCAACATGCATTCATTCCCTTGTAGAATGGGAAAGAGAGCCAACACCTGAGTCCTTCATTTATTCTTTCTTAACATTATGTTTTATGCTTTCTTTGTAGAATTTATCTTACTAGTTTATTCCTACTAGACATTCTTAAAGTGCTATTACACAATGCACCTCTTGAAATGTCATGTTATCTTCTTGATGTTTATATTTGAACTTAATCTAGCAACCACAATAAACTCACTAGTTCCAAAGATGTATTTGCATTAGAGAAAGTCCACATGCACAATTATAATCTCCAAATGATCACTCTGTCTCCCCCTTCTATTACACATTCTTATACTGATTACATTCCCTGTGCTTTTCTTATGTCTGAATCCATTTCAACAGTAACAGCAGGGAGATGCTTGTTACAGAAGGTGTCCTGTGTGTATCTTTTATCTGATTAATAATCCAATGTACTGCCATTCCTATATTAATCTCATGAATGCATTTTGAGCCTCACCTGCTCTGATGCTGCTAAGCTACGTGGCTTTTCCCACGTGTTGATGTAATAACTATAACCTTCTAAAACTTTTCCACTTTGCATTTAATAAGACAGTTGCTTTCCAGTGAACAAAATGAGAGGAATTCTTATTCGTCCTTAAATTTCCCTAACAAAAGTCAGTATGTGTTTATGTTTCAAATAATGTTTGCATGTAAAACAAAGACAGTTGGGAATTCCTTATCATCTCTACCATGTTATAAACAAACATGTTAATATGAAAGTGTTGGTACCACACACTCAGTTACTATGATGCTTGCCACAGTTCTGCCCAGGAACAGTTTGAAGTAGTGCACAGGGCACTGAAACCAGCAGTGCCACTGTTTGAACACATGACATTGGCTTCATCCCTCCTCACAAGCTTTCCAAAAACTGTAAAGAATGCTAACAAATGTTAGCAAACAAGATCGAGTTTCAAGAATGAAATACTACAGACTACAGACGACAGTATAAAACAAGAAAGAAAAGAACTTGGTGGGTCTTAGGGGCATACGGTAAAACTGCTTCCCCTCTGGATTCACAGTGCGTAACTTCTTGTATTTTTAACTACTACATTGCTTTTTAACTACTTGTTTATCTAAGCTGATTACGGACTGAGAGCCAGCAGGGCTACAAGAGACACCCTGTCTCGAAAACTTGAAAAAAGAGGTGGGGGAGAGAAAGAGAAACAACCTTCCAACAAAAGTCTTTACCTACAAACACTACTCATGAAAACTTGCTTCCTGTTCATGCTCTCCAAGAATTTCTATAAAACAGGCAACAAAATGGAATATTCTGGCCTTTCAACAGGGAACGGGGCTGTTTTGCACCAAAAGAAGAACATTTATTGGAACATTTAAAGCACCTGAATCAGCTAAGGAACACTTCTACCTAGACACTGCCCGCTACCACGTGAATAAAGCTGGGTTTCCAGATACTCTTTATGAGGGTCTGGAGAGTACCAAGGATCTATACTATTCATTAAAAATGAAAAACACCCCCAGGAAGCCAGAAAACACACTGACGACCAAAGCCAACGAAAGCAAGTAAAACCCCAGCACAGCATACAATTTCCCAGAAACCCTAAATTCTCCCAGGGTCACAAATTAGAAAAATTAAATTTGGGTTAGCTCAGTTGACAGCAAAATATTGACAAAATCTTATTTATAGTCAAAAATATTACTGGATAAAAGTATCACATGCAGACTGCCTAACTTAAACTGTACACTCTGATTTTTAATAGAAATCATTTAAAGAGAGGACAAAAGGTAGATCAGAAAATAAATACCTTCATGAGAGGTATTGCTAAAATTAATTTTAACACAAGGAGGGATTTTTCCCTATACTTGGTCATTATGTGTGTGTGTGTGCGCGCGCGCGCGCGCACACACACACACACACACACACACACACACACACACACGTCTTTAGGAAGTACTGTGACTCTGTAGTCCAGACAGAAGTGACAAGTATGTCATCAGTTTAACCTGAATGAACTATCTATGCTCGTTGTTAATTTATAAGTGGCTGATTCTGAAATTAATAATACCATTTAAAACAGCCACACCACTGACGGTCCTGTTGTTTATGATGTCCATTTAATTTCATTATCTCGTTTGAGTAAGTGCACTGATACTTCCTTTCAAACAGTGCCAGTGATCTCTCCTGTGGCTCTTCCTTCATCCTCACGGTAGGCAAGCCCTGTGTCAGAGGCAGCCCCTTCCCTGCAGTAATGCCTGAATCTTTCTATCAGTCTTCTCAGACAGGGCCATTACTGTGACCACATTTTCCAGAAATGTTAAGTAACTTATCTAAAGTCTCAAGACGTAGTAAGTGGTTGAGCCTGGAAGTTTAATCCTCAATATGTACTGTTAACCAGTAATTATATTTTTTATGTTTTTAAATAAACTTTTAAATGTTTTAAAAGGAAAAATAGAAAAAATATCTATACTAAGTCTTTAGCACATTGTCATACTCAGGAAAGAAACGAAAGTTCCACAGGAAGTAGGAGTGAAAAAATGTTCAATACCCATGTCAGTCAGGACAAATTAACAACTAACGTGGTCATATCTGATGGAAAGCTTGTAATTCTGGGGCTGGAGACACAGCTCGTTAGTACAGTGCTCGCCAGTCAAGCACGGGCTCCGCGTCTGGATCCCCAGCACCCATGTGAACCTAGTACCGCCAGTTTATAACCCCAGTGCGGGGAAGGTGGGCACAGCAGATCCCCGGGGCTCACTGCGTGGCCAGCCCGGCCCAAGTCCATGCTAGGGCTCCCGGTTCAGTGAGAAACTGCCTCCAGAAACAAGGTGGGGAGCACTTGAGAAAGACACCTGTGTTGACCCCACAGAAAACATGGGATCTTATGGTGACATCACATGTAATATCACACGCAGCACCACACGTTACTGCGAGGGCTGCCTGCTGTACTTCTACGGAGGTAGAGATCTGAAAAAAAGCTAAGGCTACAGGCTCTGGAGACACTTGCCTAGTTTAATTTAAAAGGTTTATCATATATTTAAATACTTGTTTTAAACAACTTCCCAATGATTCTCTGAAAAAAGTAATGGGAATTAACAACAGCAGGAACAAGGCTACAGCCCACCTGACTCCTCTGCACCAGCAGAGACAATGCCACAGCCCCCCTGACTCCTCTGCACCAGCAGAGACAATGCCACAGCCCACCTGAGTCCTCTGCACCAGCAGAGACAATGCCACAGCCCCCCTGACTCCTCTGCACCAGCAGAGATAATGCCACAGCCCCCCTGACTCCACTATACCAGAGACAATGCCACAGCCCCCCTGACTCCACTGCACCACAAGGGGCCAGCAGATCCTCGTGAGCAGCTGTTGCCAAGTCTGACAACCTCAGTGTGATCACCAGGACCCAGATGGGAGAAGGGGAGCACCAACTCCTACTAGTGTCCCTCTGACCCCCACATGTGCACTCTGGCGCGCGTGCACACCTGCACTGTGCACACACACTCACACTCACACAAATAAATGAATAAATACAATGTGATCATTTTTAAAAACTGCCAGCACCGTGCTACAGGATCCGCTCATAACCTCCGATTATTTGGTAAGCTCTAAAGCACCATCCATCACAGCAACAACTGAAAACTCACAGTCCCCAGACCTTAACTTTCCTGTTAGCAGCATGAGAAACAACTGGAAGCAAGAAAACAGCTTACAACACACACCATCTTTCTGTGACAGCAAATCTCTGAGGTGAGGGTTTGGGGACGGTAGGTCTGTCTCACGGCGCCATCTTGTGGAAACACTAGAGCTGATTTCAGATGCTTTTTCAATTTTTATATGAATTCTCTGAGTACATAACGGATTCTGAGCATATCAACCGCTCATTCCACCTCCAGCTCATCCAGAGGCCCTGCTGTCTTGCTGCCTCTCCCGACATCATGTCCGCTAATCAGTGCTGACCATAACTGCACGCCTATCTCAGAACTGACCCTCGATCGGTCAGACAGCAGCGAGCCCGGGAGAGCGGTGTTCAAGGAAATACAGCACCTACACAAATCCCAGTTCCCATAAGTGGAATTACTTACAATTCATGACCATCAAAATAAAAGTCTCTAAAGAGACAAGTCAGAATTAAGTATGAAGTGTTTACTGATTCTAATGAACTAAGTTAACTATCAAAGGTATTAAATCACGCACTAAAATTTATATTACAAGCTTTAACCACTTCAGTTCCGAACATGAGCTTGCACTAAGAAGAAAACGTTCACAGCCAATCCTACAGAAGCTTCCCTTTGGGAGGCTCTGCAGCAGCGCTGAGCTCCCTGAGTTTCAGTCTTACACTGTGGTCTGAGGCTTGGATGTCTATGTTTCCGTAAACCGTTCCCAGACAGATCACGTTGCCTCCTTTCGTTTGGACGTGCAAATTTTGGCTCTGAAAAACGAAACCAAACCCACAGAGAGTAGTGAGTAAACTAACACGATACTAAGGAAGCATTTTCTTCTGTGCATGTCCCTACACCAGGCCAGGAGTCAGTTGTAAGGAAGCATTTTCTTCTGTGCATGTCCCTAAAACAGGCCAGGAATCAGTTGTAAGGAAGCATTTTCTTCTGTGCATGTCCATACAACAGGCCAGGAGTCAGCTGTAAGGAAAGAAGGAAAGAGCGAAACCAGCTGTTCTCACAAGGGTTTGTCTTACAGGGTGGTTAACACAGCACGGTCACAGATGTGAACCTGAAACCCAGGTTATTAACCAACTTTCTAGAACTCTTCCCAAAGTAGCTCTGCTTCCATATCTGAAGCTCTCAGCTGAAGTGGATTTCCGGAGTCTCTCTAATGTGTGACGCTGTAAGCAAACTTCCACGCCAGGTAGACATGAGAAGCAGGGAAAGTAAGACACACGGAAGGAAAGAAAGGCAAAAAGCCCTGAGGCGAGACGTAGATGAAGAGAAACAGGCTAAGTTATAAGCGCTAGCAAGAAAAGAGCCTAAGCTAAGCCAAAGCATCCATAACTAATAGATCTCTATGTCATTATTTGGGAGCTGGTTAGTGGCCCCCAAAAGAAAGCCTGCTACAGAAATAACAGCAAACTCTCTAGTGGAGGTATAATTTAAAACATTTATGGCTAAGACCAATCTCATTTTAAGAAAAATGGAATGTAAAATTGTTAACTAAAAAATAGATGAATTATCTGTTGTTCTTCAAAATTAGCTGTCTCGTACTCCAGTAAAGAGCTTCTGGTATATTAAAAATGAGTGAAACGGTGCTCACTCTGGCGCACATATACTAAAACTGGAATGATACTGGTGTAGGAGTTCCTTCTGTCTATGTGTTGCTTTCATTGGTTAATGAATAAAGAAACTGCCTTGGCTTAGTTGATAGGGCAGAACTTAGGAAGGTGGAGAAGACAGAACTGGAACAGAGTGAGAAACACTCACCTTCACAGCCTGCAAGACGCTAGTCCCCTGTGCAGTGCTGATTTCACAGCGATCACATTCAATATTCTGTACCTTGACAGAGCCGGACCCTGACGACTCGATATTCAAATCTAGACAAAAGCAGAAAGAAGGAAACAGTGAGTGCCTGGTCTGAGAGCATCTTAATATCCCCAGATACCAGGTCCTCAGGGATTCACTGCAGTACTGGGGACAGCAGCGTCGTTTCTCCCTGAAAGCAAGAGTTGTTACCACGCAGCAGGACCAAATGCAGGGCCTTTCCAATGGCCTCTAGAGACTGTACCTCCTGGCTTGTCTGATCTAAAGAGAGGAAACACCGCAGCTGTGCATAAAGGGGCGGAGATGGCCGTTCGTACAGGCTGGTACTCAGGTCTCACGTGCAATAGTTTAGGAGCTCCCAGCTCATCTAAAGAACCCACACAAAGGACGAAGGACACGGCAGTGATTTAACGAGTCACCAAACGTCAGGAAGGTCGGCCAGCCTCGATCCATGCTCTAGACTTGGAATACCGATCCCCTCATCAGAAGCATATCACAACGGCATGGGTGAGTGTGTGTGATCGTGACTCGGGCATTCAGGTTCTACTCCTGCCTTTCACAAGCACAGAATGGGAATATTGCCACACAGCTGTATCACAGGGTCCTTGAAACAAGTTTTAATAACCAGAACCCCTTTCCAAAACCTAAGATAAGAAGAACTAAAGCTACAATATTGTGGATAAATAAGGGTGTTTTTGAGGAAAGTTTGAAAAATAGGAATCATTCTCAGCCTAGTTACATAGTGAGTTCAGGACAGTGAGGGCTCTGTAGAGAGATGCTGTCTCAACAGACTAAACAACAAGATTCTAAACAGTGATAATGAACATACAATTCACATTAATATCAATGATTCCCAGAGTACAGCAATAAATACTATTGTCCTAGGTACTGTTGCTGTGATAAAACGCTGGCCAAAACCATCGCGGAAGGAGAGGGTTTATCTCATAGCTAACAGTCCATCACGAAGGGGAGTCAGGATGAACTCAGGGCAGGAACAGAAACAGAGACCACAGACAACACTGCCTTGCTCTCCATGGTTCTCTCAGCAGGCTTTACACAAACCAGGACAACCACAGTGGGCTGGGCACTCCCACATCAATCATACATCAAAAACTGCTTCACAGTCTGATGAAGGCATCCTTCTTTTTCAATAGAGGCTAGGCTCTCTCTTCCAGGTGACTCTAGCTTGTATGAAACTGATAAAAAAGAAAAAACCCAAGCCTTATGTTCCACCCAAGCAAGTTATTGGGGCCCAATGCCACAACTCTAATACTTACAGAATGAATCTCCTCAGTTGCATTGCAATGGTTTAAATTAGCAACAACATTCTGAGCGAGAAGAAATGAGAATCAAAAGTCGAACGCTGATATGACCATAACTGCACAGCTTATTTCCCAACTGAATCCTGTCACACAGCAAGAGATAGGCAGCCCTGACAAACACAACGAAGCGGAATGGGATTCTGCACACGCTCTGCTCTTTGGGGAGTCAGATGAAGAACTGAGGCTGGACACCACAGCAGTGATGCTGCGTCCACTCGGTCACTCCTCCGCAAGTCAGAAGAACAAATAATTAGCTATATAGATCTGAGAGACCTCTGGAACACAGGCACGGAGACAGTACACTGGAAACAGGCTTCTGGTTAGAGCTAACGAGATCTGGGATTGCCAGCGGAGGTAGCAACCATTTTCAAAGGTGCTGTTTTAAGCTTTGATTGTGGATACCCACCTCTGGTGGCTTGAAAGAAAATGTCTTTCAAAGGGAGAGGCGCTAATGGGAGGTGTGGCCTTGTTCGAGGAAGTGTGTCACTGTTGGGATAGGCTTTGAGGTCTTCTATGCTCAAATCACGCCCAGTGAGACAGACCACTTCCTGCTGCCTGCACAAGTTGTAGAACTCTCCACTACCTCTCCACGTCTGCCTGGACGCCATGTCCCACCATGATAATAACGGACTGAACCTCTGATTGCCGTCACGGTGCCTCTTCACAGCAACAGAAACCCTAAGACACCACCTTAATCTGTATGTAGTAGAGCCTCACAGCCCCTTCAAGTTATTACATTTGGAGGCCACGGCCTCTTACTCATCTCGGTTAGTTGAGCCGCAAAAGAGCATAATAGCTGAGCCATTCCAGCCAGCTCAAACCCTAGCTCATCTCTTTGTATTTCGGGTGGAAAAGGCATCTAGAAAGCAAGCTTCATAACACCTCCGGGTTTCTTGTTTGTTCACTTATATTGTTTTATGACATTTCCTATGTTGGAATTTCCTCATCTAAAATGGTAACAGTGAGTATCTACTCTATAGCGCGACTGTCAGGGTTAATAAAAACAACCTCATGCTAGGTGAATGCTGTTATGATCATCATCTTTCTGCTCCAGGAAGAATGGCGGCCTGGAGAAGCCTTCCTAGAAAAGGACACGTGCACTTGCATCTGGGAAACAATGGGAGCAAATACCTAAGAAATATGTTTTGTAGGTACTATTATGAATTTTCCCAGGCAGCCCTACTAATCACCTCAAAGCTCGCTACTCCCAGAGAATTTACTTACGCATAAAAGAACGGGCACCTACCAGCTTGGGTGTCTGCTGGAAAGCAAGTACATTTTTCCGCGTTAGTAATGAGGCAGCTATACAGAGCTGAGGAGGAAGCCAGCCCCACGATGTGAACAAGGTGGACAGCGAGTCACTGAATAGGTTATCAAAAAACCTCAGCCCTGAACGACGAATCATTTTGCTAATGGCTGTGACCAAGAAGAACACGGGGTCTCCACAAAGTCATTAGACTTAGCTTATTCCAATTCATGCTTCCATTCGGTTTTAACTTAAACTGGCATCCTGACTCTTGGATACTATTCGGGAATCTAAGAGTGTCACTTTAGAAAAGAGGGCTCCTGAAGGGGCCAATTAAATCAGAAAGCAGGGTGGGAAGAAACCTAAGGGTGCTGCGCCCCACACCGGTCTCCACTTCACTTGCCAAACTTGACAGGCGCGTTCACCTCCACCGACGCCCGGGGGTCGATGTCATCGGACAGGATGGTCATCTCCTGCCGAGCAGCGTCGTACTCGACCTGCAGGCCGTCCAGGCCGCCCGCCTCGAGCCCCACGCCGCACACCGCCACCTGCACGCGGTCGCCATCTGGGTGCGCGTGGGGATCCAGGGGCCGCACGAGCAGGCGGCACGGGAGCCGCGCCTTCAGCCGCCCGAACGGGCTCACCGGCAGCGACCACTCTCTCCGAGGCCCGTGGGGAGCCGATCCCCGCCGATCCCCGTCGGAAACGCACGACCGGGCCCCGGGAGCCCCGAACCAGGCGCCCAGCCGCGCTCGCAGCGCGCATGGCGGGAGACGGCCCAACATGCCCGCCCTGGGCCCCCGAGCGCCAGAACCCCGAGACTGCCTCGGGTCAGCCTGGAAGGCGACGGCTTTGCAGCTGCAAGACAAACCCGGTAAAAAATTAGAACTTCAAAGCGTCTGGTGGACACCTGACCCGGACTCTTCGCCTTCTTCCGCCCCTTTGGCGGAGGCCGCTGGGACGTGTAGTTCTAACGGGGCTAGACATCAAAGTACCCTGGGCCATTTGAACTACATATCCCAGGAAGCGGTGCGACAGATTGACAAGAGCCGATTGGTAGACGAGTCGTGCCGTTGCTCCAAGCCCATTGGTCAAGGGACTTAATCCAACTGACCAATGGGAAGAGTCGAAGGGGCAGGATAGACTCCGCTGTGTGGTTACCATGGATAACAAGGACGCGACTTGTTTGGAGAGAGGAGTTTTGGGGTGAGACGAAGAGACCAGAACCCACAGAGAAAGCTAAGAGTTTAAATAAGAAGCGGGACCAAGAGAAAGGGTAAGAAACAGCGTGTTTACAGACGGGACTCATAGCAACGTTACCTTGTGTAGGTTGTTAGAACCAAACTTTAACAAACTAATGCTGGGTCCCCTGGAGTCAGAGAACCCCTCAGCAGGAGACCTTACTTAGCAAGAGAGACAGACCCTTCTGTTGCTCGACCCCCTCTCCTCTGCCCTTTCGGAGATCTTCCTCTCAGATCGGCAGGACTACATAGGAAAAGTGTCTCTTTCCTAACTGTCGGTAACCTTAGGTCAGTCATTCAGTGTCTTTGGGTTTTCCTCTTTGCTTGTAAAATGACGACACCAATATTTTCCTTGCCTGGTGTGGAAGGGTTTTTTTTTTTTTTTTAATACAGAGATCAAGTGAAACAGCGGTTGACAAAGAGCGATGCACGATCTACCAAACAATTAAAGTAGTATTTTAGGACTAGCATTGTTTCTAGGTTGCCGGGAAATGTTGAGACATTTGGACTTGTTTAGAAAGCAATGTTGATCTCTTTCACTACAAATGATCGTCGGCCTTAGTGGTAAAATAAAATCTTTTTTTCTTTTACCCTAAGACTTGTGTGTGTGTGTGTGGGGGGGGGGGGATGTCAGATTGTTTTCCTGGCCCTGTTGGTTTATCTGTGTTGCCAGGAACTGTTCCTTCAGTTTTGATATAAAGATAGAATTACTAAATAGCTTTCTGAGGCTTCTCTCCTTCCTTATTATTAGTGTGCAGTAAAAATAATGGACCGTCTGGGGGTGAGGGCATTATTTCAACCTTGCTTGTCTAATCTCTCCCTTTTCTCCAAGCATATCTCCCTAAATTTCTTACATACAGATGGATAGGTTTAATAGAACGCAAGTCCTATGTGGGGGCATTTACTTGTAAATCTTCTAGCATTTAGGAAGCAGAAGTTGAGGATCTCAAATCAGAGGGCAACCTGGGCTACAAAGTGAGAACTCTATCTCAAATAAAATAAAAAAGATGGTACCTTTAAAGACTGAAGCCCTCAGCCAAACATGACCCCAAATCTTGGGACCTGAAGTAATAGAAAGAAGGGGTAGACTGAGCTCAAGTCCTCACCCGGGAAGCATAAATCTAATTAATCCTATCAATAAAAATGAGGAGTCAGAAATCAGGGTAAAAGCATGAAAGATCAGAAAAGCAGAGGAGCAGCTGCGAGTTATTTCCCACCTTTTCTGTTCCTCTGTCCAAAAGGGGCCAAGATGCCGGCTCTGCCCTGTTTTACCACTTCCTGTCCCTCTCTACAGTCCTCCAAACCTCTATGGTCAGCTAGTGGCTAGCTCCGCCCTCTGACCCAGGCAAGCTTTATTTGTCAGAACACAATCAAAACATCACACAACGCACCAGTATCCATGTTATTCCCTCAGCGAAGACTATAGTAGTGGCAGTGGGGGTCAGCAGCCTTGATGTGGGAATGGTTTCTTATTAATAAAGAAACTGCCTTGGCCCATTTTATTGGATAGAAAATTAGGTAGTCGGAGTATACAGAAGAGAATTCTGGGAAAAAGAAGCTTAGTGAAGGAGTCGCCATGATTCTCCCGCTCCAGACAGACACAGGTTAAGATCCTCCCTGGTAAGCCAGCTAGTGGGCTACACAGAATATTAGAAATGGGTTAGAACAATATGTAAGAGCTAGCCAATACGAAGCTGGAACTAGCCGAGCCAGGCAGTGTTTGAAAGAATACAGTTTCCGTGTAATCATTTCGGGCATAAGCTAGCCATGCGGGCGGCCAGGTGCCGGGGACGCAGCCCCACCGCTCCTATTTCAACACAGCCTGCAAAGCCTTATCCTGAGGGACTCCACTGAGGTGCAGCCCACCATTGACTTCGCTGCAAAAATGAATGTTGCGAGAAGCTAGTATGAGACAGAGTTGACGCTGACTAAAAAGAGATTTTAAGCATAGATTTAGGCAGCATAGGAGTTGATAGAATGAGACCCACCCAGGATCACAGGGGTAGGCTTTTGAAAGACGGTATGCCCTCAAGTGTCTTAGCAGTAGCTCTACAGATTCACTCTTTTGGTGACTCTCAACTTACAACTCAAAAGTTGTTTTTTTGTTTATTTGTTTGTTTGTTTTTTAATTTATTTTCAAGACAAGGTTTCTCTGTAGCTTTGGAGCCTGTCCTGGAACTAGCTCTTGTAGACCAGGCTGGCCTCGAACTCACAGAGATCCACCTGCCTCTGCCTCCCGAGTGCTGGGATTAAAGGCGTGTGCCACCACAAGTGAGGTCACAGGGTGGCTCTCAAGGTGTCTTTGATTGGATGACAGTTCTAATAAAGCCATGAGTCATGACAGTTGTAGAGGGATTAAGATGTGTCCTTTTCTGTAAATAGGGCTTCTGGTGAGATTCCTAGAAAATTGCTGGTTTATCCCTGAGGAAGAAGGAAGGGCTTGTATGTTTAGGTCCCAAGCATGATTCATTGCTACAACATTCTAACTTGGAAATACCTCTGCATAAGAGAAATACTATCTTTCTCTTGACAACCTCATAGATACTGTTGCTAACTGTGTTAGAATTCTTCATTTTCGGCTGGTGAGAAGTACCCGGCAGACTCTGGGGTGAAGGGTCTTTTTCCTCCCATGTCTCCATCATGTCTGTGTTTCTAGCCTGGCTCAGTAGGATAAAATGGATTTTATGCTAAGCAAGAGCCCACTCTATAAATAACGTCCTCGGCTTTGTGATTTGTATGAACAAATTAGATTAGTCTTCAAATTATCTTTTTTAAGCAAACCCACAAGTATAACTTTAAAGATCTGAAAAAGGCACGAGCAAATTGAGAATGAACTCAGATTAGCTGTGTAATTGCTAGATATAGGTAAAAATTTATCCTTGATAATTATACTGTTTCTATATAGTAAATTTTCTTTTTCTGGAAAATTTAAATTAATAGAAATGTCAACTGAGCCATAATAGTGTGTGTAACACAATCATTTTATTAGTATCAAATAAAGGAATTAAAATTTATTGAGAAATTATCTTTCTGATTTTATGAGGTTGAAGATTGAGACTCTGATTGATATTAAGATTGATGTAAGATATTGCCAACACCTAGCAATCTAATATGTATCACATTTGTCTACATGCAAACAGTGACTAACAAATACAGTTTTCAAAGCATTGCTAGCGGGCACCAACCCCTGTATCCTCACAAAACACTGCTCAGAAGGACAGCGTTATTCTCCCTGAACGACACTCAAGGAAACAGGTCCAGAAACACAAGATGCAGCTCTTGTGAGCCAGAAATTATGGCTTTACGTGATGAAAGCATAAAATTATGAATGTACAAGAATTTTTGTCTTATGGAGCTACTTATAGTTAGAAATAATTGAATAATCTAAATCCCCCAATAAGAGAGCTATAATTAAATTGACTATATATTTGTAGTACTCTAAAGCAATTTTAAATTGACATTTTGAAGGTTTGTCAGTCATGTAGGAAATAATCTATAATATAATTTTGGGTAAAGAGCACATACTAACCTTTATGTATAGTTTAATCTCAATTCTGTAATAACAATAATAAATTTAATATAGGAATATATTCACAGAAACAATTCCAGAGGGATATACAGTACTTTATAATGGTAGTTATCTCTAATAATAAATTTAATATAGGAATATATTCATAGGAACAATTCCAGAAAAATATACAGTACTTTATAATGGTGGTTATCGCTAAGCAGTGAGATTGAATCATCATATGACCAGTAATGAACATGCTTTGCATTTTAGTAGGGAAAAAACTAAAGATTCTTAGAATGTTCTGACCCCTAATGCTGTCTCGGAAATCCAAGCCATTTCTTAGCGTCTGACTATAAATGCAGGCGGGTAGAGGAGTGTTTCTTATCAAATAATTGTGAATGGTAGTGACTATTATTACTGCATGTTCAACTCCTGGACAGCAGAGGGCGGGAGAGTTCTCAGGAGAAACGGTGTTCAGACCAAGGATTCAGTACTTCAGTTGAAGGGAGTAAGGCTGCCACATTCTGAATCATAAACCACTTAGAACAAATACTGCTTATAATTTGTTATCCTTAAGACATATTAATACACTTGGAAAACTAATAACTAACTTCTGAGATGTATTTAATGGATCTGTAGGTAGAGCCACTTGAAGTCTCCATGTGAAACTATAAATAAGAGACACTTTAATTTCCCCTTGTGATCTTTTTTGTGCTTGCTAAACTGCCCTACAATACTGGTGAGAGTGAGCTCAAACTTGGAGCCTCAGGGGAAGTGTGGGCATCTCTCAGGCAAGCATGAGGCCTGATGCTGCTGCTTCAGGCGCCCTTTGAAGAAGTTTAATTCATAATTTACTTTTTGTTTTAGCAAGAGTATATCTTAAATTATTTTTCCTCGTGCACTGAGATGATTAGTCATGTTGACATGTGTTGTTGTGGTAGCTCACAGTAACTGAGCCTTTACATGTTGAGCCATAGCCAGGTGGTGGCGCACGCCTTTAATCCCAGCACTCAGGAGGCAGAGGCAGGTGGATCTCTGTGACTTTGAGACCAGACTGGTCTACAAGAACTAGTTCCAGGACAGGTTCCAAAGCAACAGAGAAACCCTGTCTCGAAAAACCAAAACCAAGAAGAAGAAGAAAAAAAATGTTGGCCCCATTTTTCATTCCCTGGATGTACTTGGTTTGATCCTGTTGCTGTCTTTCCTGTACAAATTGGTAGATTGACCTAATGGTTTCTGGGAATTTTTGTATTTCATGTTAATATGAGTTATTAGTCTGATATTTTCTTTGATGTCTTTTCTTCCTTTTGGTATCAGGGTAAATTAGGGGGCAAGTGTTCTATCTTTTCTTTTTCTGAGAAAATTGTAGAGAATTAATTGGTATTGTGGTTTAGTTTTATTTGTTTTGTCTTCTTCATGTGAAATCTTCAGTTTATCCGTCAGTAGTCTCTCCCTGCTTTCTGCCTAGTCTGCAGAGCTCTCCCTTGGTATATGTGACGCTGGCATGTTCTCACGCACGCTCTC